ATGTTTGCGGAATTTGTGGTGGGTTTGCGGGTAATTTCCTGCGATTTCATGGGTCGTTTTCAGATTGCTCACAACAATCCCCAGACACCTAAAAATACCATGGACATTCAAACAGTTTTCCAAATCAGGAATTGTAGGAGTTTCAGGAGTGTTTGACATCAAGATCCATAGTTTTTAGACAAAAACAAGTAAACACTGAGAACCTCTCATTGTTCTCAAGACTTTGAATCTCCACAAAAAACAAACATCTACCTGGAACCTGCCTGATTCACCAACCCAAGCACTCAAAGCCCAGTAGGCAGACACACGTCATGTGTTCGTGCTAGGTCGGTCAATCGGAGGAGCAGACGTCCCAGTGAGGATGATACAGTATGAACCCAGAGTCTATCCTGGGATCACGTCCCACTGTGACACGACATGACATTAACACCTTTGCATATTCACACTGTGACACCTTGACACCTGAATAATCATTGATATCAATGTAGAAATATGCAATGTAGACAGTGATATCAACGTGACTGATGATCATCATTTACACATGCTTTGATTGGATGACTGGGCACAAGCCTCACTTGGGCCAACTACGAAGCAGGGCGGCTAGCCAGAGATGAGACTGGCTGCACCCATCACCATACCCCGCTTGCGCAAATCTATGCCACAGCATAGAATGAGAATACAATCAACAAGTATATGCCTATAAATGATTATATCATAACCTTTTTAACGTTATAGTTATATACTCATTGGGATACTGCCCGCCCTTCTATAGAGTGTACAACCCCATATGGCTCCATGATCCGTGTTTTACCTGCCATTTAAGCTTTCAGCATACATCCATACCTATATTTTTCATACGCCGTGCGCCAGCCAGGCCCGTGCGTGCGTGCTTTGTACGAATCTGCTGCGCTGTTGTTGTCAAAGGTCAGGACCCGCACACGACCACGTTGCACTGCAAAGCCAGGTGACACTTTGCGTTCGAATGGTCACACTTGAAACTCCACACTTTACACTCCACACTTCATCTCATCTCATCTGAGCTCTTCTCACCTCGCCTCAGCTCATAGCTATGCATTGCTCAACCTTTCTCATCGCATGGAAGCTCTTCCCATAACTACTTCGTACCACAAAGCTTGGCCAAAGTACTTCCCAGTACTACTCTGCACTACAGAACTTGCACAAAGCACTTCCCAGGACTACTTCGTACTACAAAGCTTGCACCAACACTTTCCAGTACCACTTCGTACTGCAAAGCTTGCACAAAGCACTTCCCAGTACTACTTCGTACTACAAAACTTGCACACAAAGCACTTCCCAGCACTGCTTCGTACTACAAAGCTTGCACCAACCTTTTCCAGTACCACTTCGTACTGCAAAGCTTGCACAAAGTACTTCCCAGTACTACTTTGTACTACAAAGCTCGCACAAACACTTCCCAGTACTACTTTGTACTACAAAGCTTGCACAAAGTACTTCCCTGTACCACTTTTTGCTACAAAGCTTGCACGGCGAAGCGACTCCCAGTACTACTTTGTACTACAAAGCTTGCACAGAGAAGCTTTTACACAGAAAAACTTTTACACACTGCGAGGTTTTACGCAAACACGCTTGTACACAGAGACAATTTGAGACAATTTTACACACAGAAACTTTTGCAGACAAACGCTTTTACACACAGTAAGTTTTTTACACACACATATTTTTTTTAACACACAGCGAGCTTTGACACAGAGAAACTTTGACACAGAGAAGCTTTTGCACACACAAAACTTTTTCACACAGCAACTTTTTACACACAGAAACTTTTACACGCAGCAAGTTTTTACACAAAGAAGCTTGTACACACAGCAACGCGCGGCAAGCTTTCACACACAGTTTTTTTAACACAAAAAACATCAAAAAACTTTTACACAGAAGTTTTACACACAGTCAACTTTTGCAGACAGCAAGTTTTTGCACACAGAAACCTTTACACGGAGAAACTTTTACACACAGATGTCACAGAAGCTTTTACACAGAGGTGTTTTTTACACACAGAAGCTTTTACGCGCAATGGCGACAGAAATTGCAGTTCCAAAGCCTGACCTCGGCGCCAACACGGAAAAAAAAGACGATTTTGAAGCACTTTTTAGAAGGAAAATAAAAAAGAAATGGATCATCGCCAAATTTTCTTTAAACAATCTGACGAATCACCATCACAACCTTGATGCAACCACTCCAATACGATACAATACGGTCTACCAGTTAATAGCCGCAAATAACAATAGAACTACACACGCAGCCCGCCCCCGCAGCAATAAACCTTGATGTAGCCATTGCATTTGCGATCTGCAACGCGAAGTGGCAAACACGCATCTAGCAACGCAAATGGCAACACAACATGGCAACCAGAATGCAGCCATTCCACTGCTATCCGCAACCGCACATTGCAGAACACCAAAAAGGAACCAATCACAAGACAAAATGAGCGCAGCCGCAACCGTCGCACAGAGGAGCTGCCCTTCATCGCCGGCTCCAGCCACGTTACACGAGGAAACACAATAGGATACCATGCGTCGACATGTCAAAAAATCACCCCGCAATAAAGAAAAAAAACGCAATATAAAAAATTGCCATCGCGGCACGTCCTTTTGGCATGTCGACGAGCACAGTTGCGTCGCTTTTGGCATGTCGACAGGCACAGGCGACATTTTGGCATGTTGACGGGCACCACACTTGCATCGTTTTGGCATGTCGACGGGCACGAGTACGTCGTTTTGGTATGTCCACTGGCACATTTACTATGTTACACTTTACTATTCTCCCTTTCCAACCTACTTTTTGGCATCGCGGGGCGTCATTTTGGCATGTCGACGGGTCATTTTGGCATGTCGACGGGCACATCTACTATTTTACACTTTACTATTCTCCCTGTCCAACCTACTTTTTGGCATGTCGACGGGGTCATTGTGGCATGCCGACGGGCACAATTACTATTTTACACTTTGCTATTCTACCGTTCCAACCTACTTTTTGGCATCGCGGGGCGTCATTTTGGCATGTCGACGGGGTCATTTTGGCATGTCGACGGGCACACCTACTATTTTACGCTTTACTACTCTCCCTGTCCAACCTACTTCTTGGCATCGCGGGGCGTCATTTTGGCATGTCCACGGGGTCATTTTGGCATGTCCATGGGCACATTTGCTATTTCAATACTATTTTACACTTTTCTCCCTTGCCACCCTACTTTTTGGCATCGTGGGCACATTTACTATTTTACTATTATCCTGTCCAACCTACTTTTTGGCATCGGGGGGCGTCATTTTGGCATGTCGACGGGCACAAGTACTCGTTTTGTCATGCCGACGGGCACATGTACTATTTTACACTTTACTATTCTCCCTGTCCAACCTACTTATTCTTGGCATCGCGGGGCGTCATTTTGGCATGTCGACGGGGTCATTTTGGCATGTCAACGGACACATGTACTAGTTCACACTTTACTTTCTCCCTTTCCAACCTTCTTTTTGGCATCGCGGGGCGTCTTTTTGGCATTTTGACGGGCACACTTTCTTTTTTACAGTTTACTATTCTCCCTTTCCAGACTACTTTTTGGCATCTATGAGATCTTCTCTTGCGCTTCCACATATATGCTACGCTATGAGATGTTCTTCTGGCTCTGGTCTGGGGGTGGGGTGGGGTGTGGTGGGGTGTGCCAACGTGCTTTGGCTCTAGGCACAGGAACTATTTCCTACCGCCTACCGCTATGAGATCTTCTCGTGCGCTTCCACACATATGCTACGCTATGAGATCTTCTCTTGTATTTGCACAGCGGCATGATGCCACGCTATCAGATCTTCTTCTGGCTCTGATGATGATGGTCATCATGATGATGATGATGATGATGATGATGATGGTGATGGTGATGGTGATGATGATGATGATGATGATGGTGGTGGTGGTGTTGTTGATGTTGTTGATATTGTTGATATTGTTGATATTGTTGATGATGATTTTGGAGTCACAGGCGAGATGACTTTGGAGTCACAAGCGAGCAGAATTTGGAGTCATAAGCGAGACATTGCCCAGTAGAATGCGAGATATATCGTCAGCAACATAGAAGCTTTGTCAAAAAATACTGTACAAGTAGAACGCGCGAGGCGGGTGGCGGAAGTTTCCGGGTTTAAGGACTGTGACGCTATAGGACGTTGTTTTGGCATGTCGACGGACACAAATTCCTGGCATGTTGACGGACACCATCATTTTGGCATGTCGACGGACAATCTTTTGGCATGTTGACGGAGACAAACTTGTTTGGCATGTCGACGGGAACAAACCTTTTGGCATGTTGACGGAGACAATCTTGTTTGGCATGTCGACGGGAGCAACCCTTTTGGCATGTCGACGGTCGTTTTGGCATGGCATGTTGACGCGTCGTATCCGAAACACATCGAAACACAATACTTCGCGCTCCGGCATCCTCCCCAACACACGTCCCATGCAACACTCATGCAGATCTCACGCAGCTAGTACAAGGCGTTTTGCACCGCACAAGTCCACCACTTCACAAAGTCACCGCTTCCCTGCGTCACCACTTCCGTAAGTTACGACTTCCCTAACTTACCACTTCACAAAGTAAACACTTCTCCAACTCACCACTTCCCTAAGTCACCGCGTCCCCAAGTCACCACTTCACAAAGTGACCACTTCTTCAAGTCATCGCTTCTCTTAGTCACCACTTCTCTAAGTCACCATTTCCCTTGGTCACCACTTCCCATGGTCACCACTTCCCTAAGTCACCACTTCCCAAAGTCACCAGTTTACAAAGCGACCGTTTCTCTCAGTCATCACTTCTCCTAGTCACCACTTTTTACTTTGTCCGTAACTCGGAAGATTGCTTCCCAACTTTCTTTGATAAAATAACTCTTATAACTTATAAAACTTATAACATGTTATAACTTATAACATTCAAAGAAGGGAATCAGCCAATCTGCTCTGGCATCCGGCATCTCACGGTCTCAGCAGTTCCCAGCAGTTTTCTCAGCGGCCAAGGGATCGATCCACCTTAGCGGTGGAACATGGTCCAGATCCGATATCAACGGCAGATGTTTTTTCTTCCGTAACCGGCTTGAAAATCAAAAGGGCTTAAGAAAATCTTGAACTTTTAGATACTTTTAGATGTTTTTTGATTTTTTGATTTTTGATAAGGAAAGATAGGAAAGCTGTCCCATGCTCTCACCAATGAACAATCAAAAAATGATGACGCACATCAAGCCACACTGCAAGGAATCGTCAAGAGTCAAGGTCCTCTTCATGCCTTCAAGTTGCAGAGTTTCAGAACTGCAGATGGACCATTTTATCCAGTCACTGCTGGGTGCGAAAAACAGTACCACTGCCACCACCTTTTACGATTCACGAATCGCAGCACCACACCATTTCTATCCTTTTGGTCACTAGTCAGGCCATTACTCTGCAAACCCCAAGCAGCAAAGCAGCACCTCAACCTGCGTTTCCTTGGACATGCAGCCCAACAAACGACGTAGCACACAGCACCCAACAAGCACGTCGGTACCCGCCGCGCTGCTCCATGGATTCCACGAAACCCTTCTGCAGCTCACTCTGAAACCCTGACCCTGACGTTCCAAGCCACAAATACTGATCCCCGTGGCAAACATCATACAAATCCCCGGACATTCCCGGACCACGGCCGCCATCATGCTGTTCGTTCAAAGGTAGGCACCCCCCATGCAGAACAACAACAACAACAACAGCAACAGCAACAGCAACAGCAACAACATCAACATCAACATCAACAGCAACAGCAACATCAACATCAACATCACGAGATACCTTTTGAAAATTGCAAAGGTGATCCAAACAAACCATTGCATAGGGGCAAGCCAAGGGCACGGCTGGACTTTTGTCCTGTCATGTCCTGTCCTTGCGTCATCAGCCAAGGCACAAGTTGCTTCAGGTCCTCCTTGAATCCTTCGGTGCATTTGTGTTGGTGTGATTTGGTGTGTAGCTGTGGCGGGTCTGTCACTGATGCTAATCACGGTGAGAGGAGTCAGCTACAAACTCTCATCCAGTACGGGGGTTTCCATAGTCATGGGAGTACCCCTAGTTATCATCAACTGATTCATAGGATTTTCATCGGATTTTCCCTTGTAAACCAACCATCCAGCGATAAAGGGGTACCCCCATGACTATGGAAACTCAGGCCTGATGGAACTGCTGGACTCTGTCGGATGAGCTCCTGGCGGGGCGCTTTTTTGATGGGGCGATGCCCATGGCATCGATGCCATGGCTTCGAACCACGAAAACCCCATGGAAAATCCTGGAGTTACTGAGAAATGGGAAACATGAATTTTCGAGTCCATTCATGTCCATTCAATGTGAGCCGCTTAAGCCGCTTAAAATAAGTCTACATACCTCTGAACTCAAATACAGATCAGATACACATCAGATTGGCCCCATTTATCCCCATTTTCCATATCGGAACGTCGCAGTTGCTCTGCCCAAGTCCGCCCAAAAAATCACAAAAAATGGCTCCAGAAGGCGCGCGACTGTGAACTTGCGCAAGACTGGAATCACCGCTCGAGCCTTGACGTATCGTGACGGCACACGTTGGAGGGCAAAACGTGCACAGGATTTGGGGTGAAAGCGAGAAAGGGAATACTTAAAGATGGTTAATGCAAAGTCAATTGAGACAAGCATGATGACAACGGAATGTACAACAACAAAGTCAAGGGTAGTACCTCAGTACCAAATCTTTTCCGACAATGAAACTCGGTTTTCCTTTGCATTCCTTTGCCTGTTCGGGATCCAAGTCCCTTTTTTGTAAATTGATTTCAAGATTGGGCAAGGCAAAGCAAACTATTTAGCAGGTTTCCCTTGCAAAATGCACAAAATAAACAGTGCACGACATCAAAAAAGAACAGATCAGCACAGTAGCGCTCACAGATCACAGTTCTTCGTTTTTTTAAAGAAATTGATTGAAATTGTTTTGTTCAAAGTTGTCGAGAACGCGTTAGTCGTTAATTTGTCTCATTCTTTGCTGCTTGCCAGGCCTGCCGGCGGCATAGTGGCTGCACACTTTTTGGCTCAAGCGGCCAAGTGGCGTGCAGAACACGGTTGGGATTGTTGGGGACAGGCAATGATTGGAAGCGCCGTCGAAGCATGTCAATCACGAAAACCATCCGTTGGTTCCTGGGCCAACGGACAACGATGACGTACGATGACAGTCCGATGACACTCCGAGCACACCATTCCGGGCTTGCATCGGTAGCGCAAGGGGCTTGCGCTTGCGCACCCACCAAAGGCGAACTGCGAACAGTATGCCCAAGCAATCAGTACCCATGACGGATCCATGGTGCTGGTATATATGCTAACATGACTGGGGTATATTGATGGGATCCATGTTACCATATATAGCATACATGGATCCTATGGGGTATAATCAGTATACCATATACAATTACCATCAATTACCCCAATTCTTTGGTGTCTTGACTGAAGCGTGCCTAGCTTCAAGCCATTCCTTTCGCACCTCCTCTCAATGTGTGGCAACACAAGCGCAAGAACCTGTGAAATTGGGGAAAGGTGGTCACTGGAACCAGGCAAGACTTGCGAACATTTTAGACATGTGTCTGAATGATTTCAAAACAGCATCCAAGAATCCAATCTCAAATTCTTATTCCATGAAGAAACGATGGCACACGCTGCAAAATGACTTCACGAGTTGATCTTTTGTGCAAGCATCAACAACTTCTGCCAACCCACTTTGTGACAAACTCTGGAAAATCATGGAAAATCACGATGAAATGAATGGAGCACCATGAACTCAAACCATTTCCCTGCGGGAAGACCCTGCGGGATTCGACTTCCCAGATTCGCCTCTGCCTCTCCCAGCATTTCAATCAGTTGCCGCTGTGCCTTAAAAGGCTCACGACTGTCGGGTTTTTCAACCGATGACGCATTCACAGCATCAGATGCGACAGGTGGTCCGACTCTCCGACCTTGTCCATCTTCACTTTCGGCTCACGATGCGTGAGGTGGCAAAACTCACAATTCTGCCCTTGCCGGCAATTGCCATAGAAGAAACGGATGCAAAAACGGCCGCAAACCTCAGCCCCCATGAGGCTCATGAGGATCATGTGTCTGAAAGTGGTGTTGGACGATGACCAAAGTGCCAGGCTGCTAGGGTGGATCTGAAAATGACATCAAATGACGAGGCTTAAGGCTTGAGATGGCTTGAGTCAATTATCAGTTTTTGTCCAATTTGCTGAGGAGTCTGGCTGCAGTGTGACCTAGCTCCCAAACGGCTAAAATCTGTGGTCATCGCTGACATTCGCTGACTACTAAAAGAAAGGCTTGGATACCATTGGATACCTATGGCCTATGAACTGCACAGAATGACCCTAGATTGAATATAGTCATCCCCAAATAGATGGAAAAGTAAATCCCTACTAATTTGATGGCGATTTACTTTTCCATCTATTTGGGGATGACTATTATAGATTTGAAGAGCCTTAGTCTTGAAGGCAGGTTGCTAGTCGCAAAGGTGTTGATTCGAGGCACCAAACTTAAGGAGATTGCACAGGAAAAAGCACCTCTGACAAGATCCAAGAGACTTCAGGATGCCCGAGGCTGCCCTTGGATTGGTTCCCCTGATCAATGGGCCACTCAAAGGTCTCTCCGGTTTTGTGGAGCAATGCGCCCACGTACTTTGCTTCGGCAGATTCATCGCTGCCTGGGGCAATTCAACAGTATTCAACCCTGCAAATGAAGAAAACATCTGAGGAAAAAGCTTCTGTAGCCGGCAAGCCCGGAAGTAAACGATTTCTTAGCGACAGCCATCCCACCCATCTTTGCCACTCGCAAATGCATTCCGTCAACAGTCTACAGCACACCCACAGACTCTACAATGCTTGGCTGCTACAAATGCAGGCAAGGTCACTCACTGCGGCGACCCTTGCGATCTGAAGCCATGTGGCCCATGTCCCTAGGTCTCCTTTGGACCCCAACCGCCAAACGAACGACTCCCTCCTGATGACCTTTTCCGAATGGCAACATTCCACCGAATACTCCGTCTCAACAAATCTCAACAAATCTAAACATTGTTTCCCAACTCACCTGACCTGATGCTGCCAACCCAAGCTACACTCTGTACCAAGACTCCATCCCGACGCGTGCTGCCTGTACCGCCCGTACCGCATACGTTTGTCGCATATGACCACGGCCCGTATCCCTCCAGCGGCTGCCCATCCACTAGAACGGTGGTGAAGAGAATCATCTCTGGCAGGTACAACCAAGAAGATGTAGAAACAACATGAAACAACTTACTTCTTCACCCGTGGAGCAATCATAAAGCCTCAGAATTTCACTAGCCACATTGACATCATTGACGCATTAGGTGGAGGTTCAAAAGCCAACCGTTACGTTACGTTACGTTACGTTACATTACATTACATATATATATATATATACAGGGGGGGCGGGGAACATAGCTCCTGTATATCCATACCCATTCCTACTACTAACTACTACTCACTACAACTAACTACTACTCACTACAACTAACTACTACTACACCCCCCCACCCACCCACGGGGGGGGGCGGGGAACATAGCTCCTGTATACCCATAGCCCTATACCTATATACCCATACCCTTTGGGGGGGGTTCTGGGAGGCTGCATCATATATATAAGCATTCCCGAAATGGACAATCAATTTCTGAAATGGACAATCAATGAATTTGGCCGGCAATCTTGAGGTGATGACGGCCAAACGATGGTGGCAAACTGGAACTGCGCTTCTTTGGGCCCTCCTCCTCAAGCTATCCATGGGACCAATGGTCCCAATGGTCTGGATTTTTGGACCAGTTGGCATCTGACTGTCACACTTTACGTCGGGCTTACGATATCATGAAATGGAGAATACCTATGGTATGTAATGATATCATTATCATTATCATTAATTACGATACCATTATCATTTCAGGACATTAATTACGATATCATTATCATGAAATGGAATGGAAAATAATTGAAAGGTCTGTGGTGAAATATGTTTTTTTTTTTATGTGTTATTGGTACATTGCAACGGAATGCCCTCAGCATTCCGCATTGGAAAACAATGCGCAATGCAGTTACGTCCAGGGCAATCCTACTGTGGATGGAAGAAATCCTGCACCACCTTGGATGGTTGAAACATGTTGAAACCCTATCCACCATATCAGGGATTTATATTATTAATAATCGAATGGATATTATATATTGTTATATATAAACTATTAATATATTATATAGATAAGATTAATAATCTAATATATCCCATCAACTGGGTGGATATTAGTGTTATATTATTATTATATATATATAGAATAATCCATCCAGTTGATGGGATAAACCACCTATCAACTGGTGCAGGATTTTGCTGGTGCATCTTTCTGCGACGATCTGCAAGCTATGGCCGTGTATTTTTGTCATGTGCTCCAATAATGTCCTAAAATAGTAAAAATAGAAGGGCCGGGAGCTGGTATACCATCTATCATCATAGAAACCTGTTGTTAAAGGGGTTTCAACAAACTATTAATCAACCAAGCAATGGGAATTTGGGACATCTATGATGTGCTCTATTGGCGGATGATCTCCATCTGATGCCTTGTAGGGTGTGCCAACGTCATATGTGACGAAAAAACCGACCGAATTTTTTGTGCTGTCATCCAGCTTGTCATTGTTACGTATCCTAGAGTCATGTAATACATCATCTTGCCATATGTTGCCATCAGCTTGTCCTCGAATAAGCGCGGTGTGTTACCCTCTGGTAATTTAACATAAGTATGGGAAACCACTATTTATAGTGAATTTTCCCATGAATAGCATGGTGGATCTTTCCATAACATCACTATTTATAGTGAAATCTCCCATGAAAAATTGTGATTTTCCATAGTTATGTTAAATTACCAGGCCGGGTACATCCATGGTTTCATCACGGTACCCCTCCTGGAAGTTGATGAATGTTCGATGGTACTGCAAGGCCATCGCAAGTTATTCAGCGCCGACGGGACCGGGGACCGTGTTTCTTAAGGGCCAGCCGCTGTTCACTGCAAGTGCTGCGGCAAAGGATAATTCGTGGTAGAAAAAAGTCAAGGCAGCAATATGGGGGACATGATCTTAAGAATATAGTGTGTGTGTGTATACATATATATATACTACACATATATTAAAATCATCAAATTTGGGGCTACCTGATATGTGCAGTGGTCAAAAGATTGTATATGGTATGGTCATCCATCCCATAGTAGGAAGCCTTACAATGTATGAGTCCTTCATGGCTGGTGATTGGGAGATATTCACTCAAGTGACCTAACTCCATACATGGAAAAACCAACCAACATAGTTGCAAGAATCCCCACTTTCGTGGTACACAGGAGCTCAAGTGGAACAGTCACGTCGATGTATTCACCATGTGGTGGCCTGATGATGCAGCCACGGCTCTTTATTTTTCTGGTCTCTCCACTTTAGGAATCCCTACGTTCATAATCATTTATATTATACATTAATTGCACATCATGGAAGTATATTCACATTTACTGCTCAAATTTGCAATCTTATCCTTGACTATGTTCCTACAGTCGGGTGGCTTCGGTTTCGAACAGCCGCAGGCAGGTCCCCATTCAAGACATCGCGGTCGCTGGGCTGCGCACCGCAAATGCCAATGTCATCACAGGCACGGAGCAAAGCAGCCTACGGCGCTGAAAGGCTGGTTTATGGAAAGATCATAGATGACCATTGATGGGAATATTAATATATGGGAATAATATATTAATATATGGGAATAATATGGAAATATCAGATCTGAAAGGAGATGGGGAATAATTCATGGATTGTTAATGGAATATCAATGGAACATTGGCAGAAAATAGTGGTTTTCCTTGCCCTCTGGCAATGAAACATGGCTGGAAAATATACCAGATTTCGTTCGATGATTTTCCCATGATTTTCCCAACATTTCAGCATTGGGTTCTGCCAGCTATTCCCATGATCACCAGTGCTACCAGTATGAAAAAGCAGTGCCAGGATCAGTAGAATTGTCAGCCTTGTTTCCAGTAAAAACCATCATCACTGGTCTAACTCATGATTGTCGGATAAATTATTTATGTATATATATATATAATGACTCATCAGCACTTGTCACAAGTAGCTCAGCATCTATACCTCCAAGGATCATGGTGATTCAATGTGATTCAACATCCACAAGATTCTGCTCCCTTTTCGCTGTAGAAACAACCAACAATCAACCAACATATCTCAACACTCCCGTAACACTTCCCTGAGCTTCCCACCAACTTGTGAAAATGTGGCTTTGCCTGAAAGGCGTTGCACGTTGCGATTTTTTCGTCCGCTGTCACCAGATATATCTCCGAGTTACCCTCTGGTAAACGTTTACATAACTATGGAAAATCACCATGCTATTCATGGGAAAACTCGCTATAAATGGCCATTTTCAATAGCCAACCGTTAAATTACCAGAGGGTATCCAAAAAATCCCCACCTGGAGGCATGGTCCACACCAGTCCGCATAGACATCCAAGAAAACATGTCGCTCGCTGTCAATCACCAGCTCCTCTGCTGGACTCGCTGGTCGGTACAAACAGATGTGGGTAAAACATGGTAAAATGTTTACCACCACTGGAAATGGTAAACATACCTAATTTTATACCACCTATTTGAAATAATGGTGATTTTTCTGGGGGATGATAAACATGATTGTTTTACCCATATTGCAAAAAGATACAAAAAGACTGTATTCCTGGTGTTGTACAAACACAAACTGGAGAAGATGTTTTCGTTCAACCAGAAGGCCCTTTCGGCAACTCCCAGACTGCTGACGTCATGACAAATCGTGCGCATATGAAGATAACTAACTATAGACTAATTTTTAGTTTGTATAAAGTATATATAAATTTATACTATTATCTACAAAATATAGTACTAAGTATATTAGTAGTCTTGCTATCTACTAACCATCTAAATTTTGCTGTACGACAAAACAGCGGCCTGATACTCATTTTCTAACAACCCCTCTGTGCAGTTATGATCACATCACGCTGTTCACGCTCAGCAGAGGATGATCCAAATCTAGAGGTGCCTTTGTTGAGGCCATGGTGTGATAGTTGGGACATTGGCCACTTGTCTTCAGGAGTTCTGAGAGACAGGAGTAACAGACATATTTACACAGAAATGGTGTGATTGAAAGGATTGTTACATATGTTCAAATCATGATGTAACTTTCAAAAGATGAAGCTGATTCAATTTTGGTGAGTAAAACATTTCCTTCAATGTTGTTCCTTCGAAACAGATGGCAGCTGGGTTTCTTTGCAAGGAGTGTGACATTTTTTAAATAAATGGTGCTACTTTGAAACATACAGGTCACCTGAGCTTCTTTGAGAGGAATGTTACATCTTTAAAGGCCACAGTGCATATTTTGACACAATATTGTTTCTGTTATTTAATTAAACTAAACTGTTCATTTTTTTTTACATACGATTGCGTTTTTTAGTTAAGTATTCAATCTTTGAAGAAAACAGCATCTGCCTGAAGGAATGTTACCATTAGAAAGGAAAGACAGGAATATTGCACTTTAGAACGCAATACACATCGCAGATAACACATATTGTTCTTAAAATAAATCCGACCTTCACAAAAATATTTCTTCCTGAAAAAAAACATTTGACTAGCTCAAAGCAACCACCAGCTTGTAAATAACAACAACTTTTGGGTTGAAGTGGACGCTTTGTAAGGAAAATTGCATTTCTTTGAAGAACCTCATTTCTTCAAAGCATTGTCTGCTGGGAATGTAGCACAGGCATACAACTTCATAGACTATATACAGATATTTCTCTTTGGGCAATGAAAGCAAGTAAAAACAACTGCATTGCCTGATATTGTTTGCAATTTTGCCTTTAGCTCAATGTGCTGCATTCTCTTTGGTCAACTGCTGCGCTGTGCAGCTCAAACTCATTCAACATTGTTATGTACTTCCACACCTGTTTGAAAACACCAGGGAGTTTCATTAATTTTCTAACTGAAATAGGCCTTGTAGATGAATTAAGGTTGTGTTTCAAAGACGATTCATTTTTTTCAAAGACGAATGTGGTACAAAGTACCACAATTTCCAATGGAAACATGACAGTAGTGTATCCCTAGGTTTGAAAACGATGTATATATTATATATATATCAAATGTTCATGATGTTTGCCACACAATATGAGAAGGATAACGATAAAGTTTATGAGAAGGATAACTGGATAGTTTATGACTCGTATGACCTGAACGAATTTCCACTGTCAGCTATTGCCTTTTTTATATGACTAATACATATTCTGTTGCAGCTACTGCTGAAAAAAGTGGAGATATATCCCGTTTTCTCTTCTAGGGTGGAATTTCTTCTTGGAATTTGCCACATTGTGAACCTAATGACTACCATTGTTCTAAAGTAGTGCATTTTACAGCTGAATATTTAGGTATTTTTTTCTGGCGCAGGGCTCCATTTTAAACATCCTATTTGATTATGACCACTAAGGATACAAGTTCACATGAAGAAAGCCTACTTTCCAGCAGCAAGCCCCTCTCCTGGAAGCTGTCCGCCACTACCACCGTTAATCCAGGATGCTCGTCATCCTGGCGGAATCATGGAATTCTGATGGAATTGTGGATGGAATCGTGGATGTTTCACGTTGGATTAAAGATGATTTAGGTATATGGCAGTGTGTCAAAACCTTGTACCCCTGTAGTTCACATCATAATAGCTGGGATTTATGGATGTTCATCCCACTAAAAATGGTATTTTTATAGGTATTGATCCATACCCAGGTAGCTATCAAAATGGAAGCACCCACAAGTAAATGGGACTTATTGGATCGTGGAGAAGTGTGACTTCATGAATTCAATGGTTTCGATAGCTACCCTATTTTCAGTCACAAGTGGAAGAACTTGGATGGAAGGGAGATACCATGGGATACTTCGATGATCTTTCGAATTGACTGCGGTAGAGATCTTTCGAATACTGCATGAATTATTTATTTTATCATGAGAAAAATGATGATTTCTCATGATTTATGATGATTTATGATGATTTATGATGATTTATGATGATTTATGATGATTTATGATGGTTTATGATGATTTATGATGATTTATGATGATTTATGATGATCTATGCACACAAAAGTGGCAGTGGCATAAATCAGTACTCTCTATTAGTGTCCCCCTTAATCCCATCACAGCACCTTGTCATCCTTGGGTCTCGCTGCGCTGCTGGGCCGGACCACTCCGCAATAGCACAAGGGTTTCTCTAGGCGCCTTTCAGTGGAGTTGGGGTACAGCAACAGCACCGAAGGCTGTCCACACCCAAAAATATCACCAAAAAAGGGAGAGCTTGAAGTGTTGCCAGCCAAAATGAAACTATCAAAATTATCAAAATAACAAACATATCACTAATGAAAATTTGCCACTCATTTGATCTACTTTCTCCAATGCCCTCTGCAGTGACCCCGTGTTATTGAATGGAAAATAAGTGATTGTGCAGCACAAAACCACAAAACCAATTAATTAGGTTGTCTTCTTGAATCAAATTCAGCACAAAGCCACCAAAAACTGACGCCGAAAAGCGAAGCGGAACAATGTGGAACATACTGAGTGCAAAGGCTTGATCTGTCTCTGAGATCCACTGAGTTCTAGACTTGGCAGGGGGATTGTAGCGCTTGCACTTGTTGCATTTCCACACTCCACGTGGAACCTGGTGCCAGCATTGGCGCCGGCATTTTTGCATTTTTTATGGAAGTCGAATCTTGTCTTGACCCACACCTTGACCATCTACGGGATATACCCTCTGGTAATTTAACATAACTATGGAAAATCACCATGTTTAATGGGAAAATCCACTATAAATATCTATTTCTATGGTCATTTTCAATAGCCAACTGTTAAATTACCAGAGGGTAAGAACCGATCAATCAGTTGTTTTCAATGTGGCTAAGATCCGGAGGACAGTGAACTTCTTGGAGTATGGAAAATGAGTCTAACATTTATTAACCATGATAAAATTGCATATATATATATACATATATATATGTATACATATATATTGCATATTAAAAATATATATATATATCACTGTACTCAGTGGATTCTGCCTGCGCTTCCAGAACTTCATCCAAAGGCAAGGCTCGGCATCGCAGCTCCTCCCGAGGTTTGTGCGTCTTCGATGCGACGTCAGAGCACACTCTCGCTCTTTGTGAAAAGAAAGACGTCTAAATTAATCATAAACATATAATAGATATTATCTAATTTATATAATATATATATATATATGTTATATATGTATTATATTATAGATATAATTTAATTATATATATATGTGTGTGTGTGTGCACTAATGTAAATATATACAAAAATAGTTTACTGTACATGATGTTACATACGTCTAATGACTCACAAACACCGTGTGTTGCCCAGACACTAACATTGAGGATGTCGTGTTGTCGAATATGATAGGAGAGATTGCAGAAAATACTGCGTATACGCTGTATTTTCTGGTTTAGGATTCAAAGTTTTCAGGGGTTAGGTTTTAGGGTTTTAGGGTTTAAGGTTTTAGGGTTTTAGGGTTGGTCGTCTGGGAAGTCTCAAGACACTGGCCCTGGGTGTTTGAGCATGTTGAAGGATCTGGCTGTAAAACGCCAGTTGAACCTTGCGGGCAACACACAGCGCCTGGCCGTATAATTACCCTCTGGTAATTTAACAGTTGGCTATTAAAAATGGCCATATAAATAGTTGATTTTCCCATTAAACATGGTGGTTTTCCATAGTTATGTTAGTTTACCAGAGGGTATAGGATATTACGGCATTATGAGATCAATCGATATGATGTATTCATATACATGCACACTTGTTCTCTGTCGAAGCCGTGCAAGCCGTGCAAGCCGTGCAAGCCGCTCCAATGATCGAAGTTGACAGCCAGGCATTGCAATTGAGCTGCTGGACCTGCGGAACCAACGATTGAACCAACTGTTAGATCTGATCCACAGCTGAGCAAGAGCTGATGTCGGGATTGCAGCCGTTCCAACATGGAGATGGGCTTCAAATTCGAACCAACAGTGTTGATGGTCAAGGTGTGTCTGCCAATCAAAGAAATGAAAAACGTTGAAAAGCGATAGATCCCGCAGCAGGAAAATCAACAAGTTGGGGGAGCAAGAAAACACCTGTGATCCTTGCCATCAAATTCATCATAAAACAATATAAAGCACGTACCCTATCTTTCAACCCAGGTTATCGTAGCATCCGCCAAACACCAGCATTTCAAAAGGAAGCCCTTGTTTTGAGAAGCACGTTCCAAACAGAATCTGGGTATACCTATGCTGCAGACAAGCTGCGGTGGAAGCAAACGCATTCCTCCATGTAAATCCACCGCCAACGCTTCTTCCAACGCTGGATGGCTTGTAAGATGAAAAGCAGCCTGGCACACTTGCTTTTCAAAGCCTGGCACCCTAAAACATTGTTTCAAATACCATATGATTATTTAACATAGCCATGGAAAATCAACATAATCAACATGTTTAATAGGTAAACCATCTATTTCTATGGGCCATTTTCCATGGTTATGTTGAATAACCAGAGGGTAATCCTAAGGGTCAAAAGAACAGCCTGAAAAGCCGTGAAAACGCAGCATTTGGAGATGGTTCAAGAGTCCAAAGCATTTTTGAGGTTGCAAAGTCGTGCCGAGTCCTCACCTGTTTTGGGAAACTCCCCGGCTGTCCCCTGAGGCCTCACCATTCAAGTAGGCTGTGACGAAGCGTTCTTCTGGAAGACAAGATGAAGCACACCTGAATGTCCAAAATCTGTGCGTGCGCTGCGAGATTGCGGATGTTGCGGATGGCAGGTCGCGCAGATGAAGATAGATGAAGTGATGAAGTCTTGGAACGAAGCAGCCACAAGCTACAACTCCAAAGAATGCTTAAAGCGCATACTGAAACAACAACAACAACAACAACAACAACAACACCAGCAACAACAACAACATCAACATTAACATCAACATCAACATCAAACGTCAATGGACATCAGACGCCTCTTTCAGAATATATTCATTGCATATCTTTGGTTTGAAGGGTTCATTCCTGTCAACCAGCCAGCGTCATTGTGCTTTAAAAAATTGCAGAACCAGTCTGGGGAAGTCTGGCTGCACCACCAGCGTCAACAAATTCCACCTGCAGCGTGACTAGCGTTGACAAAAAATCGCTTCTGACATGGGTGTGTGGGCGTGTCATGAAATATTTATGGATCGTCAATTTCGTAAATTCAACTTACTGGTGCTAAACGTAGGGAATTTTCGGGAATGATCCACTGGCTAACTATCAATAATATTCAATAATCATCCCAGCAACCCCCAGTCCCATCCATTCCCTACGTAAAACGCACCAGTAAGTCAAGAAATTCCCATTGATATCATCGCCAGGTCACAAGATGTCACAAGGGAACAAGTGATGATCAGAGTCGTCATCAACACAAAATTCCCAGGTAAACGTTGACAAAAAGCTATTGAAAATGGCCCAGTCGAAATAGTTGATGACTACCCATTAATAGATTTTAATAGCATGGTGGATCTTTCCATCGTTTTTTGTAAATGTTTACCAGGCCAGGTAACTGTTCCATACCCCTTGACACAGAGATGTTGACGATGTGAGGAGCGGATCCTGAGCTTCAGGCTGGCCAGCCTTCACCACCTGCAACTCTTCCAACAACTCGTCTAACGATTTCACTTGTACAACTGAAAAAAACGTCATCTGGTTGGTGGTTGAGCCCTACCCCTCTGAAAAATATGAAAGTCCATTGGAAGGATTATCCCATATACATATATATATATAATTATATATATATGTATATTATGGAAAATAAAAAATGTTCCAAACCACCAACCAGTCATGAAACGAAAAAAAAATGTCGCAGCATGCAGTGTGCGGACTAGCAGTGGGTTCATTCGCCTGTTCAAGGATGTACCCTCCGGTAAACGTTTACATAACTATGGAAAATCACCATGTTTAATGGGAAAATCCACTCCTATGGCCATTTTCCATAGCCAACTGTTAAATTACCAGAGGGTATATCCCATTAAATCCCATTAACTCCCATTAAATCCCATTAAACCACCATTTCCTATGGCTTTCCTATGGTTTTCCCATTAAACCACCATTTTCCATTCATAGTAATGATGACCTGGTGATGGGTCTCACAGATGATCATCTCTGTGTTCCAATGCTTTCCAAACACAGCAGAGACGCGAGGACCAGTGCGCTGGATTTTTTTCCCCAGCACTCTGCAGATTCATCCCAAGATCGTATACATACTTATATACAGTTTATATACACATATACATGAAATATACCTGATATGATATAGTCATATATAATATATATATATTAATTATATTATATGATACTATACACGCTTGAAAATGTCCTTAATATTGACCTTAGCTTCGCATGACAAGTCATGGCCTTGGCTTCGCAGGCCATAGCACCTTTCGGAGCATCAGCACTCGCCTGTGGCTTGCGCAGATCGGGCAGCTCCCGTATTGGTTGCAGATCGGTCAGTGCCTCCTTCGCAACTCTGCAACCGTGGGGTGGCCACCATGAATCGTATGTGGGATCCTGCAGGATGCTGGCGTGCACCGACACCGATAAAAACAGCAGAAAGCAAAACTTGAAAGCAACCTTGTTGTCATCCTTCGACTCCACATCACCTGAGCAAATCGGTTACCATCTGGGCATGACTAACATAACCATGGAAAATGGCCCATAGAAATAGATGGTTTACCTATTAAAAATGTTGATTTTCCATGGCTATATTAGTCAGAACCAGATGGTAGGTACATTGATTCCACATGATTCCGCCGAGATTGATTCCAACAATATCTGTGTCAACTTTTTTGCCGCTGTCTCGGATGGACATTGTGAGGAAATGAACTCATCACATCCAGCTGCATCCAGCTGCTCACCTGTGGATCCTTTGGTCTCGTCCTTACCTGGGAGTCCTGTGCAGCAAGGGCGCAGCTGCGCGGGGCTCGTAAACTGCACGGCTTTATTTTGCGCCATTTCTGGTACCCAAAAAAGGGGAGCACATCATTTTTCAAAGCCATGTCCGTACGACGTGGAGATCTTTGGAGAGATTTTCCAGCTGTTGAAAGATGTCCATCAAACCATCATCGAACCCTTCAGCAATTGCACTGTCTTACAACTGTTTGAGATATTGTTGCGCTTGCAATGTGTCACACATGGGTGCCATGGCACAAAAAGGGCATGTTTGCAGACTGTCATGAGGGTGTGTTTTGCATTCTCAAAATCATATATGCAAACATGTCCAAGTCCAAATTGCTTCCGCGTCGTCACATCAATCGAGCATCAAGAAGAACCTTCTATAATGGGTGAAATTACAAATGCGGTTTTGCAGTTAGAAGAATGCTAAGAGCGAACCCCACATCAAATGCGAAACTTGCAACATGCTCTTGGATTTCCACAAAGTGAACTGAGCGGCAAAAGAGCAACACCATCCGTGCTCCTGTGAACCAAGTCCCAACAGAGGGGCTAAAGCGGAAATCAGTTGGTTCTGCTTCCTTCTTTTCTTCCTGTCGGCTGTGGGCTATGGATATGAATTCACAAATGGAAGTTTTCTCTCATCTGATTCCTCAGGGCAACTCATTTCTCGGTTTTTGTCAAAGCGATCATGCCAGGGGCCTCAGAAGTTTCGCCAAGTGTCAAATTTGGTCAAATGTCACATGTTGTCACTTGCAAATCCTGTGCCTTCTTTCCTTCTTCTTTGCTCTCTTCCTCTGCTTCCTTTGCTTCCTTTGCTTCCTCTGCTTCGGCTTTCTCCTGAGATTGACGGATCTACAGCTCCAATGGATTTGTTGCCAATGCCAAGTGCCACTGAAGTCAATGCTGCACTTCTTACATTGTGGATGGACATGGACAAAATCCTGCACAGTTGGTACCTATTGGGAAGTGTGAACCCCCAAAATAAAAAACGTAAAAATTCCAGCAACAATGGGACAGTAATGGGAGCCATCTACGAGTCGTGGTGCTCAAAGATTTCTGTCCTTCCTGGTTTTCTAACCAACTGACGATCTAGAAATCCGGAAACAGCGTAGAAAACCAGTTGTCCTTTGTCTATGCATGGTCCTGGAGGTCCTGTGCAACAAAACAACAAAATATAACAAAGTAATACTACTATTCATGTAAGTATATCATATATCCAGTATATCAACTAGCACGCCCAGCAGAAGGAGTAGAACATAGTAGAACTATGATGTTGGATGCCTTTGACACCAAAAGAGCTCTGACTGCTGGTGAAAGTAACATTTTTAGCAAAAAGACTGGGCAGTCAATTGGGTACCCTCTGGTAATTTAACATAGCTATGGAAAATCACCATGTTTAATGGGAAAATCCACTATAAATGGCCATTTTCAAGGTAGTTACCATATGTTACCATGGTGTCCATGGCATCAATTTTGATCCATTTTGGGCATCGAAGTTCCATGGCAGTCGTGCCTTCTTCTCCGCGTCAGAGGTTTCCTTTTTCAGTTTTGCTTTCCTGAGACCGGATTTCAGGTTCGACGGGGAAAAAACATGGAAAAACATCCATAAAAATCCAAAACCATTCAAATCCAGGAGGCTTCTTATTGTTGGAGGCAGCATGATCAAAAAGGCTCCGTTATCACTTCCAAGTAGTTCAAAAAAACAATATCAGTCGGCCCCTGCCGACAGAGGAGAGCGTCAGAGAAGATAACGGACGAAGCAGAAGAAGAAGGGTGCAAGAGGTCCTGGGTTCAATTCCCAGAAGAGCCCTTTGTGATGTGGCACTGAAGCAGAACGGAAGATGAAGAACATGATGATGATGATGATGATGATGATGAACATGAACACGAAGAAGAAAAAGACGAAAAAGAGTCAAAAGAGTAAAATGAGGAAGATAGAGAAGAAACTTTTCCAGACAGATCAGAAAGCGACATTAAGCACTGGCACAGTCTGCCATGATGTCTTATAGTTTTTATAGTGTTTCGAAAGCGCCTGCCAAAGGTGTGGTGTGTCTATCAGCTCACCTTACATGGCCCTGGGCTCGCCCCCAGATTGCCTTAGCCTAGGGGTTAGCCAATCTGGGGGGCAGGGATTTATGTTCTTGAGCATGAAAGAATCCAAATCCACGAATCTAGACTATATCTCTATACATTAGAATCAGATGAATTTGGACCATCTGCAGGGCAATGCTGGCAAAGCGCTTGGCAGCTTTGATGGCTTCCTTCCGTTTCTTTTCCAAGTCCTTCTGAGCCTCAACATCGCTACCCTCTGGTAAACGTTTACATAACTATGGAAAATCACCATGTTTTATGGGTAAATCAACCATAAATGGCCATTTTCAATAGCTATTTTGACATAACCAGAGGGTAATTACCATGGAGACTACATGATGATAGGAGTTGTGAAACAATGATCATTGATGATCCTTCAAAACCATGAAGCGTCGCTTAAAAGCACCTTGAACCTTGGTATTCTTGGTGACCAGTGCCTGTACCCTCTGGTTATGTCAAAATAACTATTGAAAATGGTCCATTTATAGTTGATTTACCCATTAAAATGGTGATTTTCCATAGCTATGTAAACGTTTACCAGAGGCTACCATATTCTAGTCAAAGATGTGTCGTCATCCCTTCACTCCGAGTCCGAGTCGTGTGATTTTCCAGATGGGCCCAGCTTGGACCTATGGCTGCAAGACCTATGGCCCGATTCGCCTGCTTCTTCTTCTCAATCTCTTCCTCTTCCTAGGAGTGCAACAACTCAGTTCTGGCACAGAAGGGCGCAGAATTGAGAAGTCTCGATTTTCAAAGCGCTGCCCATGCTCTAAAAACATGCGAAAAAAACACATGCAAAAACATATGGTCATCTATACGATATCATACGATATCACAGCACATATCCGATATATCCCCTCAACCCGGCCCAACAAAAACCCAACGAAACCGGACCTTCTTTGCGCTGATTTTGAAGTCTTCATCCCCGGTGGAGCGAAGCGCCAGGGTGCCATCATGGAGCAGCACCTAGGATGGTCGCAGTCGAGGTCACGAGGTCACGGCCCGAAGTCATCGATAAAGAGGACATCCACTTAAAGTCATCACATGATATGTATGATCCATTCTATATCTATTCTAAATATTTCTAAGTCATGAAAAATTATGATAAACCATGATAAATCATGATACCTGATCTAATCATCTGTATCCTGGGTATGCTTGGTCCTTCCAGATTTGCTTTTTCGCTGCACTGAGGGAGACACCAACTGGGCACTCGTCTCGCCCCACATGGCCTGGCTGGCAATCTGCTGGCGGCTGGTCGATCCAAGATGATCCAATCCATCCAACCCGCAGGCCACGCCACAACCCTGCCAGGCACCTCCTCTGCTCTGGGAAACTCCAGCAGTGGAGTGACCTGCCCAGATGTTGGCGCCCAATCCGTGGGGAGCTGAAGAAATAGCGTCAAGCTGTACGCCTGCGCGCAAGGGCAGATGCAGGCCGTAAGGCCTGTGAGTTTCACAGGCCATTGGGGAGGTCATGGGTTTTGAACGGACATTTCTATGAACATTTATTGGGGGTTTACCCTCTGGTAAATTAAATTAAATTAACAGTTTGACCCTGAAAATCACCAAGAGGAAACTCATCTTCCAACCCCGATGACTACCAGGGTCTATGTTCATTTATTGGGCTTTTAATGGATTTAACATGATCTGCCCATGGATCAAAATGGGACTTACATGGATTTCACAACAAAATCCGCCCAAAACTCGCACGCAATCTTCACGCGAAATGATGATGATAAACCACTGGAGCCACTTGATGCCCTATTTTCAGCCACATCCAGCCAGTGTTCAATCCCAAAAGGTTCTCTGCCCATCCCGGTACCCAGTTTGGCGCGGTTTTTCCGCGCAAGGAGTTGCCCAGAAACAGAAACAAATCAGTTCTGAATCAGTTCTGAAGATATGTTCATTGGTTTTCTAAGTCTCAAATCATGAAAAAACATCATGAAAAATTATAGTTAGATAATGTTAGATAATGATAAAATCATATAGTTCATCTATCTATGATTATCATTAATTATCTAATGTTAACTCATATAGTTTTCAACTATCTATTCATATAGTACTATAGATGCATTTCATCATGTTTTATATAATTTAACAATCATTCTGAATAGTTGACTATCTAACTATAATCACATTTAATTACATTTGGATAATGATCTAACTATCATGAGTAATTCTAGATGTTAGATAATTAGATAATGAATTTCTTAGATAATGAATAGTTGTTTAACTATAGTTGTTTAGAAGATAAATCATATACCCTCTGGTTATGACTAACAGTTCGCCATGGAAAATGTCGATGGCCCTAATCGAAATAGATGATAAAATCCCATTTATAATATTTATAATATAGTTGTTTTTCATCTATAAAAATATGACATGTTCCCATTTATAGTATAGAAATAGATGATTTTCCCAGCTATAAACCTCCATTAATTTACGGGATTTTCCATGGCAAACTGTTAGTCACAACCAGATGGTAAATGGATTACTAGATGGGAAAAGTCATCTATAAATTTCAGATTTTCTATAAAAATATGACAAAAAAATCCCATTTATAGTATAGAAATGGATGATTTTCCCATGTTTTTCCCATCGAAATTCTGTCCCAAAATGGCGCGTGCCATCCCTGATGCCGGTGCCTCCAGAGCTGGACGATGAGCGCTGGAGGTCACCAGGCCACGAGGTAAGTGCAGCTCCAAGGAGGCTCCAGCCTACCAGAAGACTCCCACAGAAATCATGGAAATGATATGGAAATGATATGGAAATAATGTCAACCCCGGATTAATAAACCATGGTTTATTAATTAGGGGGGTACTCCTCCAATAGTCATAATCTGATACTTAAATGGTACCCTCCCAACTAAACAGCCTAGGGGTTTATTCATCCAGGGTTGACATTAATATGGAAATGATATATAAAAAAAAATACACCTTACATTTCGAATGTGTCATTTTACGATTCATTTTCTGCAGTGACTAACTTTTTGGCTGATGTTAAGTACGTTACAAATAGATTCTACAGCCGGACATCATGATATATGATGAATCACACCTGTATGAGCCGAGTTTATGCAATGACCCCGATGCTGCTGATGGTGACGGCCGTCTTATCGGCCCAGCCATGATGACTTTCAGCCCAGGCAACGGACCGAACATATTCAGGACCTTGAAAAAGTGTAGGAAAATATGAAAATACATATAATCTATGTAATTCAATGTGTTTTTTAAATGGTACAGTATTGGATATGCAATGAAACATAGTGAAACTATGTCACACTTTTCATGAATTTCTTTCACTGGCAGGATCTGGATCGGGGGTCCTGAAGAATACATCGCTTCCTGTCTGGCACCAGAGAGTCGGGATCAATTTCAAAGTCGCAGCCTCGGTGGCCCGAGTTTCAGGAGAGTTGATCACCAAACTGACCATCAAAGAGAAAGAAATGCTGCATCATCATCATCATCATCATCATCATCATCATCATCATCTGCAACTGACTGCTTCTAATATCTTCTTTTTTTGCACTTTTCGATCCTTGATTCAGGAATTGCGAGCCCTTTAAGTGTCACCTTTGTGTGTCACCCCGCCCCTTGGTTCGCCCTTGAGTCTCGCAACGATACTGTGGCACGGTCTGAGAGCCTCTGGGTAGCCGTGAGCGTTGGAACGACCATTCAGCCGCATCACCTGCCTGCAGTTGGGAGTTTTTCCACAAAAAAAAACAGAGGGTGGACGAAGCCCACACGAAAAAACCAACACGAATCCAAAGAATATGATATACAAAAATCACCAGAGGATGAATGAAAACACTGGCTATACGCAGTGATTTTGACTTTAAGTTTCAGGATTTAGGCTTTTGATTTAGGGTTTAAGGTTTTAGGTTGTAGGGTTTCAGGGTTTGTGGTTTCGGAAAGTTAAAAACTTAAACCCTACGCAGGGATTTGAGCATGTCCAAGGATATGCGGGATTTGCCGCGGGCAAACCGAGGGTTTGCAGCGAAGATGTTTAAAGGCCCGCAATGCTGGGGGAGACTTTATCAACTATGATCAAATTTGGTGAGTAGCTCCTTTTGCCACGGTGTGGGATTTGTTCATATTTTTTCATTGGAGTCTGCATTTGGATGAGCAATGATGGTATATCTTTGAATTATACACAATTGTACACAATTCATGATTGTCTTAGGAAAATCACAGCTGCCTATGGGCCGATGATGGCCGATGTGTTTGATCAAGTTTTAGTGAAAATAGTGAAATATCTGGGTAAATTATAATATTTCACTAACCTGAATTAAGGCCATTTGGGGAAGATTTCCCTTACTAACCATGATTCCAGTGAGGGAGAACAGTGAGGTCGTTATAATTTACCCAGAACCAATACTTCTTGAAAAAAAACGGCTGTACAGGTTGAACGCAACCTGAACATCTGGAGAAATGTCAGCTGGGGAATGCTGGGATTTGATCAGATCTGTTTCGATATCAACCCATGATTTAACCATAATTCACCATCATTTAACCAGAATTCACCATCATTCACCATCATTTAACCGGCAGCCAACACGGCCTCTGAGAGAGATGGGTTCGTTCCCATGATGCGCTCTTCCTCTTCTTCGTGTTTCTCCTTGCGCAAGGATGGATCATGATGGATCCAGCCATCCCAACTAGCAACCTGTATCAGCCATGTTACCAGAACGGCTGTTGTTTGACGTTGATGAAATGAAGTGCTTTATGATACCTGGTGTGATTTTGGGTTATTTTTTGTCAGACACTTAAGTATGTCTTTGCCTGCTGGGTATATGCTTCTGGGTCAAAAGCCGGGTTTATTCTAACTAGATACCCAGTTGTATCCCTAAGTCATAGCTGGGAAAAATGCTGGCTGTTTATTCCCCCAGTCATATGGTAATAATATGGCAATAATACCCTCTGGTAAATGTTTACAGTTTGCTATTGAAAATGGCCCAGTCGAAATAGTTTTCCGTTTTCCCATGAATAGCATGGTGGATCTTTCCATAGTTGTGTAAACGTTTACCAGAGGGTAATAGGTTTTTTGACCCATCCAACCATGGCTGTTTCAGAAGTGCGGCGTCCTCGATGACCTTCAGCTCCCGGGAGTAGAGCTGCTCATGGCTTGCCTGACAAATCCACCGGTTCAGTCTAGAGAAATGCCACATGATTTAGCCATATGCCATATCCAATACCCTCTGGTAAACGTTTACAGTTTGCTATTGAAAATTGCAATTTAGTTCGTTGATTTACCCAAAATAACATGGTGATTTTCCATAGTTATGTAAACGTTTACCAGAGGGTATATCATATCTATGTTTTTCAAATTGTTCTGTATTACATCTTACATGAACTACTGACAGACTATCATCATGAATCAACGTGTGTTTGTCCACCTTTTTTTGGGCGACCACCGTTCTTGCGTTCTTCGCACCTCCTTCTCCCGTTGTTGTTCAGCAAAGGTGGACTTGGCCAACTCCAACTCCTCACCGTTTATCACGTGTTCGCTGGGATCCCCCAATTTACCCTCTGGTTATGTCAAAATAGCTATTGAACATGACCATTTATAGTGGATTTTCATGAATTCTCCCATTAAACATGGTGATTTTCCATAGCTATGTTAGTTCGTTTACCAGAGGGTATCACGAGTTGGTGCTATAAACCAACCCCAACTTTTCCGTAGAAACGGCTTCGTATTCACCTTTTTTCACCAACCCTCCTCTTTGAAGCGCGGTTCTGAGAAGAGCGTCGATGTCGCCTGGACAACATGGACAAAATGGTACCAGTACAACTCCCATCCACCTTTCATATTAAACACTCGCCAGAAACCACGGTTTTTTCGGGGATGAAACCACATAGTTATTGGGACCATGGTTTTTTAAGCTGGGGGTGCAAAAAAAAGGGGGAAGGGATTGGAATAATGGGCGTATATGGGTGGAGGACAGGAAGACCATCGTCAGTAAATCACAATGCCTGGCAAACACTCAGAAAATGAACGGACTCAAGTGTTCTTGGAGCCTTAAAAACCATCCTCTGGTCAAACTATCAACAAGTCTGTCGAGGGAGAACGGTGCAAACTCAAACTCATCATTATCATTCAATCAATCAACCAATCAATCAATACTACCTTACAGTCTCCAGAGTTGTGTTTTACAAGTTCGGAAAGCAACGAATCCAGCTGTTTCATAGCGCCACTTGCCCTGATCCAAGATATGTCCAGCCTGGAACGAGGAATGTCTTCCCAATTGAGGTGGCACTGTTCCGCCTCACCAGGTCACCATTGGAGCAATCATCAAATCATCCCAGATCCAGATCCAGATCCAAGGCACGGATGAATCACCGTTCTGACTCAGATTGCGAATTGCTAAAACCATTGCTATCTTTAGTTGCTATCTTTGAAGGGTTTATCATGGTCTTATCATGGTTTTATCTATAGATGCCATGGTACCCAGGGACCCAATCAGATTTCATCTTGGAAATAACCATGCTATACCGGCTAGACTTACCATGCCAGGCCCCAACGAGCACCGCATCTCGCTTCTCAGCAGACAGGCCTCGCCCCAAGACCGGCGCGCCGGGCGCCCCGGGCGCCCCGGGTGCTGCTGAGGTGAGTCGTGCCAGATCTGGTGGCTGCATTGGCAGCTGCAAGGCCCCATCCTGGACAGAGTGTTCGAGCTGAAATTCCATTCAAAAATGGTGAAAAAACCATGGGTTTAATATATACATATATATGTTTTAATATGTTTTAATCATGTTTAATTGTTGAAGCAACGTGAAAAGTTGGAATTGACATACATGAAGCATGAAAGTTCAGATTTCACGAAAGGTGAAGAAAGGTGAATGTGGCTTTGTCAGCGGTTTTTTTGCGGATTATAACGGTACCACATCGGCTTCAGTAAGAACAGAACATCAAATTGGGGGATGACCCACGTTCAGAATAGGACCTATGTTTCGATGTCCAAGTCTGCTATGGAACGCTTGGACTTGGGGTTTCAGGGCTGTTTGGGTCTGCAAGTGTTGGATTTGGAAAAGATGTGACACATACTGCGTATAATATACTCTCCAGTAAACCAGTAAACGTTTACATAACTATGGAAAATCACCATTTTTAATGGGTAAATCCACTATAAATGGCCATTTTTTCAATAGCTATGTTTGTTTACCAGAGGGTAAGCCTTTGCCCAAACAAGTGGCAGGCCAACTTGAATGTTCAGCAGCGCCTCTGGCACTGTAGGCGAAGTTTGTCGAAACAGTGGCGGCATGCCGTGGGCCACAGGGCTCTCGCTGGAAATGATGCCTGAGTTGACACTGAGACGAGAGGGCGTCCGAATCTCGAAGTCACTTGCACTTTGCAAAGAAAAAATGATAGACATGGGGGGTTCCTAAAATAGGGGTACCCCATGGTACCCCTAAATCATCCGTTTATATGGTCTTTTCCTATGGAAACACCCACATGGTGACATGGGTTTTTTTCTGCAGAAGGATCGCACCATGAGAATCTTCAGGTCAGGTTTGAATCCCCTCAGCTGCCCTATGTTTTTTGGCCCAAGCTGCGCCGAAGAGCAATGGGTGCAGGAGGGAGCGCCAGCGTGCCTTTCTCCTATGTGTCCGAGAAACATCTAGCACATCAGATCATTCTCGGCGCATCGTTCAGAAATCTTCAGAACTTGGGTCAATTTTGACCAGCCAAATTTGGGTGGGGCTCCATAAACCTATACAATAGCTATAATATCTATTGGCTGGCCTATTTTATATCCATTGGATTATATCTATAAACCTATAATAACTATTACCCTCCAGTAAATTAACATAGACATACATAGACCCTGCCAGTTGTCGGGGTTGGAAGATTAGTTTCCATCAAAAATTGGTTGTTTTCAGGGTCAACAAGTTAATTTGCCAGAGGGTAGATCTATAATACCTATGGTCCTGTCTGTAATATCGATTTTTCCATCTGAGATCACCACCGGTTTGCTCTCTTCCAAGCGAATATGGTGAGACTTCTCCTGGAATCGAAAAAATCCTGACCTCTGTGAGATGAAAAAAAATCCTGTGGCTCTGTGGCGAAAAATCCATTCTCCCCAATATCATAGGAATTGATAGGAATTGGAGAAACAATTGGTATAGCTATAATATCTGGGATAATTATATCTGGTATTTTTCAGATCTATCTCCCCTGTTTCTCCAATTCCTTTGCTGTGACAAATTGGAATTCCACACAGTTCCACTCAACTCCGGCTGGGATGGTCTGGGATAACCTGGGCTGCTCCACCTGCACAGCTGCTTCCACGAAGTTGTGGAACTCTGTGAAACCCACGCGCCCAACTTTCGCTTCGTCCATGATATCGAAGAATCGAACCACCTGGTTACAGCAGCTGGTTTCTACGTGGTAAACATACCAAAAGCGATGGAAAATGGCCCAGTCGAAATAGTGTAGTGGATTTTCCCATGAAAAGCATGGTGGATCTTTCCATAGTTATGTAAACGTTTACTGGAGGGTACGCAGACAGCTGGGCAGATAGCTGGGCAAATGCCATGGGGCCTGATCAGCAGAGATGCCACGCAGGCCCAAGTGATACAGCGCTGCCCAGGTCTCTACCATGTCCTGTTTCCAAGTGATGCAGCTGTTGCTGTTCACTTGCAACATGTTACAAGGATTTGAAAAAATCCAAATCAAGGATCGGATTTTTCACCTCCAAGCAGCCTTTTTTTGGTGTCCTTCTTATTTTCCATTTGCAGGGGCGCTTTTTATTTGGCCATGGACCATGGACATAGAGAACAGCCAGAAATTACCACTTGATGCGCCGACTTGGTCCGCTGAGTGCTCGACCAAAGAGCCGTTCTTGTCCGCATCAAAAATATCCTGGTGAGGTCTTGGAACAGGGATTGTTTTATTGAGTATCCACCCGGCCTGGTAAACATACAAAAAACTATTGAAAATTGCCTTTTATAGTTGATTTACCCATTAAAAATGGTGGTTTTCCATAGCTATGTTAGTTTACCAGAGGGTAATTGAGAACATTTGGAACAGGTTTGTCTTAGAAATCTTAGAACAGCATCTGATTGTTCCACCATGTTCAACCAAACCATGGCTATTTTGCGGGGACGGAAGGTGCTAAGCTCGGAGCAAAAGCGGCTCTGATACTAAGGTTCTTCCCTCGGTGCCCACGCCGGGAGACGTCAACACAACGTTTGTAGATGGTGGTTGAGCCACAGCATGCCACAGCTGTCATCTACAAGTTTTGTTTCAAGATTTTAAGATGCTCATTGGGGCATCTTAAAAAAACATCGCTGGAAATAGATTGCCACAATCATTGCACGTTCAGTGGAGATGCTATGCGGCTATGCCTGTCTTTTGGAGCTATTCTCTTCGGAATTTTGCTGCATCAAAACGAGTCTCAACAGTGAATCAGCAGATATCAGATTTTATCAACACCTATATGCGAACCATGGTGCTGGAATATATATATATATACCAACATGACTGCCCTTGTCCAAAATCACTCAGTTTTAAGTAGGTTTTTATATACCAGCACCATTTTGTTCGCATATGGGTTATACTTGATCTTCAATGATAAAATCATGGTTTTTCTCATGATTTCCCATGGATTTCATAGGGATTTCCCATGGGATTTTCTAGCCATCTTCGACTCCATGGTTGAGTTCCCACACCGCTCAGAGCTTCCCGCAAGGTCACGCTGAGACTGGCCTCTTCCAAGAAGCTCAGATCGGAGTCCAAGGTCAACACCTTGCACATCATCTACAAAATATACAGATGTGCGTGCATATATATATATATTATATTATAATTATATTATATTATATTACATTCCATTACATTATATTATATTATGTAATATATTATATTATGTTATAATGATATTATATTATATTATGTTATATTATAATTATATTATATTATATTATATTACATTACATTACATTATATTATATTATATATTATATTATATAATATATTATATTATAAAATATTATATTATATTATAATCATATTATATTATATTATATTATATTATATTATATTATAATATTATTATAGTATATTATATTATATTATATTACATTACATTATTTTATATTATATATTATATTATATTATATTATATATTATATTATATTATATATTATATTATATTAAATATAATATTATATTATATCATAGTATTTATTATATTATATTATATTACATTACATTACATTATATTAGACTACATATTATATATTATATTATATTATATTATATCATATTATATAATATAATATTATATTATATTGTATTATATTATATTATGTTGTATTATAAAATATCTTATATTACATTATATGTGTATTATATTGTATTATATTAGATTATATTTTATTATATGTTATTATATTATATAATATTATATTATATCATATTAAATTAAATTTTATTATATTATATATTATATTATATTATATTATTTTATTTTATTACATATATATATATATATATAAATTATAGAGAGAGATGTGTGTGGGATTATATGTGTGTTTATATGATGTATATGGAATATAATTAATATATAATGTGTAGTATATATATAATCTGCTTTATAAGGTCAACATCATTTTTTATATATATGTTTTATAAGGCCAAGGATGGCTAACAAGATCTCTAGCTGAATTCCCAACTTGCTTTGAAGGTGAGCATGTTTTTTACATGTTTGCTTCCTGAGAAGTGGCCAAAGCGCGTGTGTTGAAGGGAACCACAAGAGTTGTGTCAATCAGAGTCCCTTTCTGCGGCAATCGCAATCATTCAGAATCAGCTCATTACACAAAAACATGACACGTTCTAACATCATGTGATTTCGTGACCAAAACGATGTACACTCCTACATTAAATATCAATATCATCATTAAATCAGTATGGAAAGATATGGAAGGATTCATGGAACTGAAAATACCCTCTGGTGAACGTTTACATAGCTATGGAAAATCACCATCTAACTAATAGGTAAATCAACTATTTCTATGGTCCATTTTCAATAGCTATTTTGACATAACCAGAGGGTATCCATAGGCACATCGGCATAGCCGCTATATCCACGCCTCTGCCACTGGCTGCTCCTGCCAGCGCCCGAAACGTCGGCGGCAGCTCTGAGCCGCCTATTGGGGGCAGCGCCCGGAACTGGTTGGTGCTCGTCCATTCCGGAGACTCATTTGGAGATACCCTCTGGTTATGTTAACAGTTTGCTATTGAAAATGGCCATTTATAGTGAGTTTTCCCATTAAAATGGTGATTTTCCATAGTTATGTTAGTTTACCAGAGGGTACTGGTTGGTGGTTTCAACCATCTTGAAAAATATGAAAGTCAATGGGAAGGATTATCCCATATATGATGGAAAAATAAAAAATGTTCCAAACCACCAACCAGTAATCATCAATTTTAGACGGACATTTTCCATTAAACCAGCTATTGGGATACCGCCATGACCATGGAAACCCCTATTTCACGGTCACAGTGACGAATTTTCGGGAAAATCAGTCAGAGAAGTGAACCCTCTGCGGACTTCATGTGTGTCGCCCTTTTCCCCAATTTTCATGTTGTGGCGAGTCCGAAGTGTAATTGTTTGACAAGGATTGGAGATCTTTAGTCCCTTTATATATATATATATTCAAATCTAAGATATAAAGATATTCAAAATATATCTTATATAATTATATACATATTTAAAGATATTTCAAGTATATCAGGGGTCCTAATCTTCCCCTTCATGGGAAAAAACCTGGCACTGCTGGATCCATACTCGGGCGTCGGCCTTCGTTCATTGAAACTACAACGATGGATCGATCATACGATAATCATGATGATGGTGATGATGATGATGATGGTGATGGTGATGATGATCATGATGGTGGTGATGATGGTGATGATGATGGTGATGATCATGGTGATGATGATGGTGATGATGATCATGGTGATGATGATCATGGAGATGATGATCATGGTGATGATGGTGATGATGATGATGATGGTGATGATGGTGATGATGATGATGATGGTGATGATGATGATGATGGTGGTGATGGTGATGATGATGATGATGGTGATGATGATGATGATGGTGATGATGATGATGGTGATGATGATGATGATGATTAAGGATGATGATGATGATGATGATGATGATGGTGCTGATCATGGTGATAATCATGGTGATGATCATGGTGATGATCATGGTCATGATCATGGTAATGATCATGGTGATGATCATGGTGATGATCATGGTAATGATCATGGTGATGGTGGTGATGGTGATGATGGTGGTAGTGGTGATGATGGTGATGATGATGATGATGGTGATGATGGTGATGATGATCATGATGATCATGATAGTGGTGATCATGATGGTGATGATGATGGTGATGATGATGGTGATGATCATGGTGATGATGATGGTGATGATGATCATGGTGATGATGATCATGGAGATGATGATCATGGTGATGATGGTGATGATGATGATGGTGATGATGATGATGATGATGGTGGTGATGGTGATGATGATGATGATGGTGATGATGATGATGTTGATGATGATGATGGTGCTGATCATGGTGATGATCATGGTGATAATCAAGGTGATGATCATGGCGATGATCATGGTGATGATCATGGTGATGATCATGGTAATGATCATGCTGATGGTGGTGATGGTGATGATGGTGGTAGTGGTGATGATGGTGATGATGATGATGATGATTGTTGTGATGCTGGTGATGATGATGATGGTGATGATGATGATGATGATGGTGATGGTGATGATGATGATGGTGATGATGATGATGATGGTGATGATAGTGATGATGGTGGTGATGGTGATGGTGATGATGGTGATGATGGTGATGATGGTGATGATGGTGATGATGATGATGATGGTGATGATGATGATGGTGGTGGTGGTGATGGTGATGATGATGATGATGGTGATGGTGATGATGGTGATGATGGTGATGATGGTGATGATGGTGATGATGGTGATGATGGTGATGATGGTGATGAAGGTGATGATGGTGATGATGGTGATGATGGTGATGATGGTGATGATGATGATGATGATGATGATGATGATGATGATGATGATGATGGTGAGGATGGTGACGATGGTGATGATGGTGATGGTGATGATGGTGAGGATGGTGATGATGGTGGTGGTGATGATGGTAATGATGGTGGTGGTGATGATGGTGATGGTGATGATGGTGATGATGGTGATGATGGTGATGGTGGTGATGGTGATGATGGTGATGATGATGATGATAATGGTGATGATGATGGTGATGATGATGGTGATGATTGTGATGATGATGGTGATGATGATGGTGATGATGATGGTGATGATGATGGTGATGATGATGGTGATGATGATGATGGTGATGATGATGGTGATGATGGTGATGATGATCATGGTGATGATGGTGATGATGGTGATGATGGTGATGATGGTGATGATGGTGATGATGATGATGATGATGATGGTGATGATGGTGAGGATGGTGATGATGGTGATGGTGATGATGGTGATGATGATGATGATGATTATGATTATGATGATGATGATGGTGATGGTGATGATGGTGGTGATGATGATGATGATGATGCAATGCACATATATGATCATACTACGTACATGTCAAATGTACTTTGACACTTTCTCGGCAGCCACCACACTTTCATGTCGGATTTTTTTTCGCGCCTCGAACCACTTCCGCCGGCGGAAAGCCGCATCGCGCATCAAGCCCCGCAAGATTAGGGGAATGCAATGGTCCTGTGCCACAGCATGAAGCTACAGAATGCTATCCAAATAGTAATTGCTGTGCCAAGGACCATCAAAGGCTGTTAACAATCCTCAAATTTTCCAATTTTCAAGCTGCAGAACATGATACTTTCTTGGCTGAAGGCACAACCACTCCGCACAACCGGCCATCCTCAAAGTAAGTCTGGCAATCCAAGAATCTTGCAGCCTCGCGACAGTTGCAGCATGTCGCAGCGTTTCAAGAGTTCTTTCTGGCTTTGGCATGGCCTATTTCTAGTGGGAGATGCGAAGATCCTTTTCTGTCTCTTTGTGCCCAGAACTTGGAACGATGGGGTGAAAGCTGCCAATCTCGGTGAAAATGACCACTCCCAAAAAATGGACAGATTGACACTAAAACATCTAGAGCCTTTCTTTTTCTCCGTTGGCATTTTCCATGTAATTTGAAAGACCCATATATATATATATATATATGTATATATATGTATATATATATGTATATATATTATTATACTTAAAAGAAATGTCTTCTATCAGCAAAAACGCTGCTAGCTAAGCATCGTCACTAATATCAATATCGTCACCAGGCCCCGTGGACCTGCATGGCCATCAACAGCTGATGATCCATGGGCTCTGGAAATGGCCCTGCAGTGGAGTCCAAAGTTCGTCCAGTGCCCTGCCCCACTGCGCCTCAGTGTAAAAGGCCAACGACGGGAAACCAATGTGTCTGGAAAATCAATAAAAACGTAAGATAGCATATAGAAAATAGATGAGAATGGAGGTAATGCGATTATATCATATACCCTCTCTCCATATCTCACATAGATTGTAAATTGACCTAAATAACTTATCCTACTTCTGGGATTTTGGGCCCTGGGAGTGTAGAGAACACCATTGATCCATTGGCCTATACTCTCAAGAATCAGATCAGAATCGATGGTGGATCAAAACGCGGTCACGGATCCTTAGACTTTGGGGCCTTTAATTGGTCTCCTCTCATTCAAAGACCAAGTCGGGTCACAATCCGTCACAATCCGTGAACAAAAGAGCCCCCTGGCTGTTTTGAGGTCGGAACGTAAAGACAACGCATAGCCTACTCTGCCGCTGTTTGGAAAGCTGATATCAATTCAATGCACGCATCAGATACATTTCTTGCAAGACATTGTTTTCATTGTGTTTTGAATGTCCAAGTGCTGGTCGTCATTACCTGTTTCCGGCGCCTTCGGGCTTCTCTGAAGCACGTGCATGCATGACCTTCCGCACTGTCTCTGCCTGACGCAGAAATTCTTGCTATAATTTTCTCAGTACTTAGATACAGTATAGATCACTTATGATCACTTCATAGGTAGATAGACATTGATATACTTTGCCTATCTTGGCCATCTTGTGCCTGTTTGGTAGTAAGGCTTCCGGGATGCAAAGGGTGATCCAAATTAGCAGAGCTGTGGCCGAACCTCAGCCAAGCTCAGCAGAATGTAGAGCCGCCCTGCCTGCAGAGGCTTCGATGGCTGCCTTGAAAAACCACCAGTGCGATATGTATCGCTTGTATCAGGTCAACCAGCAATTGTCTTACTGCTGCGTTTTACGTAGGGAATGAGGGAATGATCCACAATGACTATTAGTAATAATCCCAGCAACCCCCATTCCCATCCATTCCCTACGTAAAACGCAGCAGTAAGTTGTTTGTCGTATTTCCGTTCAATGCTTTGCAGCTTTGAAATCAGCTCTGTCGTTGGCATTTCAACCCTGAAGCGATGTGCGCTCAAAACATCCCAGCATCGCAAGGCTGCAAAACAAGTCATGCTATAGCTCACATCTTTATACTTAATACCCTCTGGTAATTTAGCATAGCTATTAGCTATTGAAAATATTTTACCCCAGTCGAAATAGTGGATGAATCCCCATTTTTAAAAAGCATATGGTGGATCTTTCCAGTTCGTTTTTTGTACACGTAAAAACCAGAGGATAATTAGATCTCACTGTCACTATGTCACTATGACATCTGAATCGTATGGACTTGAGTTCAACGTGGCACTTCAGTTTGTTACCCTCTGGTAAACGTTTACAGTTTGCTATTGACAATGACCATAGAAATAGTGGATTGTCCCATTAAAAATGGTGATTTTCCATAGTTATGTAAACGTTTACCACAGTGAACGCCGCCAACGTCAACATTTTGATATGGCACTTTGCCAACTATCCTCTACCCGACTCAACGAAAAATCTCAGGCCAGGCCCATTACGGGTCCTCCGTTGCAGGCCAGCGATGTGCTCCCAGCAACGATCTAAAGCAAGCGAAGCCCACCTGTCACGGTGTCCCCACAGAGTTTGGCGCTCGACTCTACGGAAATATCCTACAACTCTACAACAATAGAGAAATTGTTTTTCGTAATATAAATCAAATTATAAATCTATATATAAATCTATATAATCATCATTCATATTCCAATACCATAGATAAATAATGATAAATACCATAGATTCATAGATGAATAGCATATATTGTATTGGAATATGAATGATAAATGATTGGTAATACAATAGATAAATACCATAATCTATGGTAATAATTGGAATATACCATATATATAAATCATATTCCAATTATTACCATAGATGATGATTTCATGGGGGTCGGCTCGCATTGGCCCGCGCCGGCTCGCCTTGGCCTTCGCAAGGCGTCCTGCCTCGTTTTGAAACACGGGGTCCATCTGTAGAAACACGGGGTAGACTCGCAGCTCTTCATATGCGAAAATATTGCATTGATATATTGTATGTATTGATATTGTGGAAATCATTATTGATATCATTTTGACACATTTTGACTATGTTTGTGGTTCGCACACGGCAAGTTCGACATATATATGATTGTGATGTCCAATCAGTTGCTACAAAAAGGATCAAAGACTGTGAGTTTCTGAAGGTGCATGGCAAAACCATATATATATATTGTCAGCCTGCTGAATATGACTATCCTATGTTTCATCCCAGCCCTACAGTGCTGAAAAGTTAGTTGTCAATGACCCCCTCGAATCAGTGCCATCATTTTGATCTGATGTTTTTTTCGCTGCATTTTCGAAGGGAACCCAGCTTGCACGTGAGCTACTGTTTTCGCGTTTGTGGGTGCTGTTGCATCTGTTGCTGTGGCCGACTCTTATTGGTTTGTTGATGTTGATGTTCTGGTTTTGGTTAGTTTCTGATTGTTTTTTCATTGTTTTTGCCCGGTTTGCTTGCTCGGCTTTGAATGCTTGGTTTGGTGGAGATTTGCCGAGAGTTTTTTGTGTTCGAGATCACGGTCACTCTGCAGCCCGTTGCACACAAATCGTACTGTACTTCTAATTGGCTCAAGCCACCCCGTAGCGCACAGAACTGCAGCTGGCTTGGTGGACTTGAAAGTGCGAAATTTTGCAGATTGGCTTGAATGACTCCCAAATAGCCAAGTATCAGGGGGCCAAAATAAAGAAAGTCCGTGAACAATGGTGAACATAGATGTGGCTCAAATTTCATGCCCTCGGAACCTGAGAGACTCTTTAATGGTTTACCATGGTTTACCCCATCCTGAGGTCGTCGTGACGTGGGACTGATGAGGAGTCTCCAAATACCCTCTGGTGGTTATCAAACATGGCGCGCCGCTGGGAAAATCAGTTTCTATGGTCATTTACCATATTCAATTTAATATTCCCACTAATATTCAATTTAATGTTCCCTTTAATGTTCCATTAAGATTGTACTTCCATTAATATTCCATAAATATTGCACTTCCATTAATATTCCATAAATAGTGCACTTCCATTAACTTCCATTAATATTCCATCAATAGTGTACTTCCATTATATTCCCATTCAGTTTCCATGAGTATTCCTGCCAATCATATGTCCATTCATATTCCCTTTAATATTCCCATATTGGTACTTCCATTAATACTCCCTTTAATAGACCATAAGCTTCGATTGATTTTGCCCTTTAGGTAATACTTCTTGTAATACTCCCATTAATATCAAATTAGTGTTGCGATGTGTTGCGGTGTTCCCAAAATAGTATTCCCATTCATATTCCGTTAATATTCTCATATTCGTAGTTCCATTAATATTCCCATATTAGCATGTCAATTAATATTCCCATTAACATTCCCATTAATATTCGATCTTCCATGAATATTCCTTGAATATTTCGCATTTTTTCCATTAATATCCCCATGAATATTCCACTATAGAATATGTCCATGAATAGTCCCTATTTCCATTAGTATTCCATCAATATGTCCAGTAATTGTTCAGCTAATATCCCCATTGATATTTCCATCAATAATGATTCCCATATTAGTGGTTCTATCAATATTCCCATTCATATGCCCATAAATATGCCATTAATATTCCCCTCAATATTCCCTTTAGTATTCCCATTAATATGTCCATTAATATGTCCATGAATATGCCTATTTCCACTAATAATTATTCCCTTAATGTTGTTATTAATGCGTCCATGAATATTCCTATTTCCATTGATACATATAGCAATATTCCCAATTACCATTACTGGTTGGTGGTGCAATAACCATCTTGAAACATATTATGAAAGTCAATGGGAAGGATTATCCCATAATTATATGAAATGGAAAATAAAATTCATGTTTGAAACCACCAACCAGATTAATAGTCCATGAATATACCCGTTCAGCCATTGGCATTCTGCCATCGCGCACCTCACTTGGAAGCTCACCGCCGTGGTTGGCCAAATCCTCGAGAAAAAACACAAATGACCGTGAACATGTTAGAATCCAATGACAATTCTACTGCAGAATCATATACAGGAGTAATTATAAATGTTAAGTGATACTGGAGTATATAGTTATATATACTATAATTCTGCTGCAGTATACAATATACAGTAGACAACAACACATAGGCTAATTCATACTGGAGTAATTATATTAATTGATTATATAATGATAGGGTATCACCTGACATGATAGGGTAATGTTGTCACCTGACATGTCACAACATGATAGCAAGTGATCGTGAAAGACAGAGTCTATCTTTTTTCACTTGATCAGTTCAAATCCGCCACAATTGGCCCATTTTTTGCGTCATTACGAAGACATAACTGGAAATCATAGTTCGAGATACCCTCTGGTAAACTAACATAGCAATGGAAAATCACCATTTTTAATGGGAAAACTCACTATAAATGGTCATTTTCAATAGCTTTTTGTATGTTTACCAGAGGATACTTCAAGCAGTTCATGTTGCAGTGAAACTTTCGGACAGTACCACTGTCCAGTACGTTCGACCTTCCCGAAGTTTAGACACTTTGGTCCCCGAACGGCCAGGAAAGCAGCATGGCTTGAAGGCTCGGGCAAACCATGCAAAGCACTCTGCAGGTCCTGGTGCCATGGAGAAGCCAAGATCAACAAGGATCAAGGCAATTCGACCAGTGGTGCAATTTACGACCGCATTTATTGAATTTACCCGGCCTGTTTTTTTTTTAACGTAGCTATGGAAAATCACCATGATTAATGGGTAAATCCACTATTTCGACTGGGCCATTTTCAATAGCAAACTGTTGAATTACCGGAGGGCATTTTTCAGGTTGATTCTGTGTGATTCAGTGAAATCTTCTTGTGCTTTCAGCTTCATCGCCGGAAAACTGCGTGTTGAATTTCTGTGCCTTCCAGGTCACACAACACGAAGTCTCTAAAGTACTGCAAAATGATTTCATCGAAGAAAATGACGCAAGCATCCAAGATCTTGAACAGTCGATTCTCCGAAAAAAATAAAATCTCCGCAGTCCTTGAGCATTCCGCCATCAATTTGGCCGCTGGCACGTTGTATCTCGGCATGGAGAATCCCTGGGGAACCCCCCTGGGAACCCCCTGGGAACCCCCCTGGGAACCCCCCTGGGAACCCCCCTGGGAACCCCCCTGGGAACCCCCCTGGGAACCCCCCTGGGAACCCCCCTGGGAACCCCCCTGGGAACCCCCCTGGGAACCCCCCTGGGAACCCCCTGAAAACCATGGGAACCATGGGAACCATGGGAACCATGGCTGCCACAGTCGTCTTAACCAAGTTCCACACTTGAGAATCTTCCTTGGCTGCGTCCTGCCCCGACAGGAAAGCTCGATGTTGTCATTCATTGTGTAAATGTGGTTGCCCCTAATCAATCCAAACAGAACAGTTATGTTTTTGTTTTTCTTATCAGGGTCATAGGTATAAATCTTTTGACCGATACAGTTATATAATCTCACTGTCAGTTTAAACTCTTCAAACACCAGTTCCATATCTTCAACTGATGCCCCATTCTGTTTAAACTCTTCTTCACTTACATTCATCAGTTTTTAAACCTTATCTCTGGTCATTCTTTTACTTTCCCACTTTTTAGTATTCATCAGTGTCTCTTCATAATGGTCTATCAGTGTGTTAATCCAACACTCACCGTCGGTATGTTTCTTATTTTTGATGGCATCACCTAGATTATCACTAGCAACATCCATTTCAGTGTTGATGATGTAATGATACATTCCTATCTCATTGCCATCCTTCAGTTTCTTTTTTGTTTCATCCCCACTACCTCCTGTGTTTGATACATCACTAATGTCTAAAATCTTGATGGCACTTGTGTAGTCTTCAAGGTTGGTATTATTCTTCAGGTCTGGGTGTTTTAAAATCAATCTCTTGAATAGTTTGTCAAACAAGGCTGTGTCGTGTATCACTTCAAACTCTTTGTATCTACCTTTGGTGTCTCTTCTTTTGGGCAGTGTAGCATCTATTCCTGTCTCCCTTATCCGAGCCTCCCTTGTGTTCAGTTCATCAAATTGTTTTCTTGTAATTTTGTTTGGGTTGTCCTTCTTCAGTCTTAACCTATCTTTCAGTCTTTCCATCCATAAATCAAACTTATCTCTGACCACATACTTATCCACCAGTGTTTCATTCAGTTTATCCTCATCTCTTACATTCTTCAAGTTCATCTGTATAGGTTGCTCCATATGAAGTAAATTGTGCCAGTCTCCTTGGTTGTCTTTAAATCCTCTCTGTCCTCCTGCTTTACGCCCATTATCAAAACCGTAAAGTTGAAATCTTACAACATAGTCCTTCTTGTTTCTGTTTGTTGCCATTCTCTCATTCAGTGGTGCTCTGCCTTCAATCTGTTCAAACTTTTTATCACATCTTTTTTTAGCGAAAGTTGCGGTTCTCTTGTTGTCGCTCATCAGGCTGTTGATGATTTTTTTTTGCTGTTTCATATTGTGAAATCTTCCTGTCTCTATAAAATTCTACTACCTTATCCACTCTGCCTTTAACATCTTCTTTAGCACCTCTGGTTAGTTTTTGTAGTATGCTTACATTATTGATTACGCTTTTTGATGGCATTATAATATATTTATATTATATTATAATAACATCTCTTTAAGTAGTTTACGACGTTTTATGTTTTTACCTTATTTATTCTGATGTATCTTCAGTGTCTCCATTATTATAACTTGCTCTCAATCTGATACACTTGCTGGATTGCTGATGTCTCTTGAACTTTTCTTTTGTGATGCTACACCCGCATAAAGGACATTCAACTTTGACACTCAAAAACTTCTTGTAGTATTCCCTGTGGTAATACCTGTTTTATTTTTTCAAGTCCGCTTTTTTATCAATATCCACCTGTATTAATGGCTCAATGATTACATGGCCATTTTCATCAATTTCTCTGTTTTTGACACTCATTACTATGATTTATATAAGAATATCTCTTTAAGTAAACTAAGACAAATTATTGTGCTTTATACATATCCTTCAATTTCTGCCACAGGTGTAGTTTATAAACTTCCCTCATTTGTTTCAGCATTTGCTTCTTCTTACTGTCATTACCTTTTGAAGCAAACCAAGTTTTATAAGCACTATCAAACTGTTCATATTGTTCCTTTGTAATCATATCCTTATTTTTAGCATTTACAAACTCTTCTCTTAACCTCTGAACCCCTATTGTGGATGCTCCTATCGTTTTTTGTATTGTCTTTCTCTTGCCACTATCTTTAGGTTCATCAATTTCATCATCTGCCTCCGCTCCTCCTATTTCTAACTCTGTCTTTTTCTTGTTTCTTTTCTTTCTAATTTTAGGCTCTTCTTCTGGACTGCTTCCATCTCTTTTTTCAGCATTCATTCTTTCAGTTCCTGCTTTAAAACTTTTGGGTTGCCCTGCTTTACCTCTTGGTTCTATTGTTGTTTCAGGAGATGCTCTTTTGCTTGAACTTGATACATCCATAACCTCTACAACGGGTAAGGCTTGAGAACTGCTTGAAGATGCTGATGCCTTTGCTTTAGGCTTGGTTTGTGGTTTTGCCTTGGCTTGAGGCATAACTTCATCATCAGTTGCCATACTATACATTTCAGGTTTTATAGGAGCAAAACTTCTTGGTGGGTTGATGTGGTGTATCTGTTCAGGTATTGTCGGTTTGTTCTGTTTAAAGACTTCTCCTCTGTGGTTCATTGCCGTTTCTTCTTTTCTCTTCATTGCTTTTTCTCCTCTTTGTGTCAGTTCAGCATTCAATTGAGATGCTTGTTGAGTGCTTGAACTTGGTATTGTCGGTGTAGCCTGTTGTGTTAGTTCTTCATCTACATTCATTGGTTGTGTTGGTTGTGCTATTACCGGAGATGTTGTGGGTAGTTGTTGTAGTCTTTCAGTGTGATATGTTCTACCTGCTGTTCTTACATTTTGCCTTAATAAAATGTCATTCATTTGTCTCAATAATAGTTTCCCCTGTTCTTCCCTTAATTGTTCCATAGCATCTGCCCCATCAAAAAAACTTCCTTCAGGTGAGTTTCTGAAAAATGTAGCGTCTCTGTTTGGTAAAGCGCCCGTCAGTTTTTCATCTTCTGATATTAGATTGGTGATTTCTTCATAAGTTGGTTTTCTGCGTAATCCATATTTGGACATTTTATTTACATTCTCTATCACTGCTGTTGCCATTATAATATAAAATTGTGTAGAAATAATTTTATATTATCTATGTAAAATTCAGATTTCTAAATTGATTTATTTGATGCTGTAAATGTTCTAAACTATTATGGTTAAGATTGTCTCTTTGTATTTCATTATTAATTCTGTCTAATTGATTTCTATAATTCACTCTTTTATTTGCTTCAACTATATCATTTCTTATTGATATTAATTCATCTCTTGTCTCTTTTTCATCTAATTGTTTCTTCAACCACGCCATATATCTTGTGCCATAATGTTTAAACATACCACTCCCAGTTGCTTTTCCTGCTGGGGCATTCATTTTCTTTCTATAATTTGTTGTAGTTTGTTTTCTCTTATATGCCTGAAACATCTATCTATATTTTTTGTTAGAATATATTTTTTAATCATACACGATAGACCCATCAGAGCGGAGTTCCAAAATGCTTTCGCTGACCAATGTAGTAAAAATTTCTTCAATCTGTTCAGTTTCTGCTAAACTCCCCTCTGTTCCTTTGATTTTAAAAGTGATTAAGCTTCCCATCTTTGTATTTACGCCACTAAAGGCTAAATCCGCCATCTTCTCCATTGAAAAGGCTATGACAAATTTATTCTCGAGATACTGCTTATAACTGATATTCAGTGAATTTTGTTCTGGATTTAAGAAATGAAGTGTGCGTCGTAAAAAGTAGAATGCTTCTGATAAATCTACTCACTTCAAACTCAGGAAATTTCTTATTCGCAATTTGAAGTTGGTAAGTAAGTGCCCTACTGTTGTCAGCAAACCCGTTTCCTTGTTGTAATGGCAATGTATCTGCTAATGGACCGTCATTAATCTGTCCGTTAATCATAGGATTGTAAAAATAGTTCCACCTCTTATAGATGTAATTGTCTGGCAAGTATTGACCATAAATGCTTCCACCTCTTGGACTTCTATAAAGTGTGATGAAAGCATTAGTCAGTTTAGAAGCGGATTTAACAATGTTCATATTAATCTCACCTCCTCCTGTGTTGAAAGTTTGTGCAATAGTGTGATATTGTGGGATAATAAGTTTTAAACTTTGACCCTCTAACAAATGTTTTGTAATGTTATTATCAACAGTGTTGTCAAGTGTAATTACTTCTGCTCTAATGATTACATTGTTGATTTCCCAACTTACAGATGTATTACCAGATTTAAAGTAATAACCTTGCTTGTCGGTTTCGGTTTCTGGATTTGTTCCAGCATCCCCTTGTGGGACTACAATGGGTTCAGTTCCATCGCTTACAATAGTAAATTCTAATTCTAATGGTGCTACTCTCAATGGTAAGTAGTAGTTGCTTTCAAGTAATCCACAGCAGGGTTTATGTGATAATCGTGCTTTTAGCGCCGGGAATGCCTGATAAACTATGCCGAGTAGGTCTAAAATCAATTCTCCCATATTCATTATGGTCAGCAGATGTATTAACTGTTGCCACACCACCAGCATTAGTTGCCCCAGATGTTGTATAGTCAATAAAGTTATTCAAACCATTAGCGTATTTATGGTAATCATCATCAAAAGAAGGATTAGCACTACTTTCAATATCATCCATCTCATTTACATTTTTTGATTTGAAACTTTTAAATAACTCACAATGACGGTTGTATTCAATAATGTCCTGAACCATCTGACCTCCTACCGTTGCCCTATATCGGTTAAAGAATGAATGAAGACCACCAAGGGGGCGTAAAAACTTTTCTCTTGTAGTATCAGTATTCTGAACAGTGGCGAATAAACGCACACTGCTTAAATCCAGATATTGGTTTGCCTCTCCGCTGACATAAAATCTTATGTTCTTGTTTCCTTGATTACTGGCATAGATGTTAGACCCTGATGGAAAATAATTTACAAACCGACGGTCAGTGATATATTGTGCGGTTTCTGGGATGCCGAAGTTCAACTGGTTTATCATTACATCGTTTGCTTCACTTGTGATATTATCCATTACTTATATATTTAAATTTAGATAATTTATATTCTATATCATTTCTTTTTATGTGGGATTAACTTAACATTTTTTAATTGAATATCATTCCTTATTTTTTTCTATATTATTTTCATTATTTTCTACTAAACCTTTTATAGCATTATAATCACTGGGTGGTTTATTCATCTCCTTCTCCAATTTCTTATATGCTGTTTGTCCCTTTGTTAGAAGTATTGGTTTTGGTTGATGTTTATAGTCTATTCTTTTTAACATTATTAATATTCTATACAAAATAATATTAAGAATGTTGTTTATTCAATAAATCAATATGTTTTTGTGTCTTACGATGTGCTGATAGATGAAACTTTTTACATTCAGTCCCACATTCACACATCACCCTATAACTGGTTTTCAAGTAATATTGCTTATCCATCTCTCTTTTTCTTTCCAAGTTTTTCTCTCTATGTTCCCTTGCTTTTTGTTTCTTTTCTTCTTGGTTTTTGATATAGTAGTCCTTTCTGTATTCCTTGAGTTGTTCTTCATTATCTTTTTGGTATTCTTCATTTGTTCTTGATGGAATAGCATAGTTCAAAGCAGGTTTCACTTCTTCTATCTTTTCTCTCTCTTTCTTATGTAATTGCTCTTTGTTTTGACATTGTGGCATCTCATCAATCAAAACAATAAAGAAGTTTTCCACTCCCAATTCATTCATCTTTTGGTAAGTATAGTCGGTAGTGACTTTTTGTTGGGTGTTTCGCACCACATCTGTGCTTTGCCATTCTATCTCCCAGACTACAACAAGTAGAACCTATGTATATATCGCTGTCAATAGTGTTATATATTTTATACACCTTTGCCTTTGAATAATCAACTACCATTATATCTACTTTATTATACTTTTTTATCTTTAAATGTATATTTATATTTTGATGGGTGAATTTGGTGATATTCCATTATCTATCTTTGTTGTAGGACTTATTGAAAACTTGCCGAAATCAAAGTGTTCATATCCGTGTGCTTTGATGGGGTCTGGTTCATTTAAATTGCTCGTGATTGCGTATCCATCTAAAATTGACACAGGGTCATTAGGATTGCGGCAATCCCTATGTTTAGGGTCTTGCCTCCCCCTCCTCTTTGGTTTTATTGCCGGTGTGGCATAAGTAGTTGTTTGAAATCTATTTGGGAAGTTTTCATTAAGTGTATTTGCTACAGCACTGCCGAGGCTGTGGCTCACCAGTCTTGTTATTTGAGGGTTATTTTTCAAATAATTCATCACATCTTTATACTTTTCAGTTTGTTCAGCATTCCTTGTTGGTAGATGTATCAAGTCATCTAAAATGTCTCTTGTGATGCTTCCATCTTTTCCAGTAGTGCCACTGATGTATAATGTCTTACCAGTAGAATATAAAACCTGACGGTGAAGCATAGGCATTTTTAAGACCTTGCCTGTCTTCTAAAATTTCTTTGTTTCCTACATTCCTTTCTTCTGTATATAGCGTTCTGTTGTTTTGTTTCAGGTTGTTTGTTATTTGTTCTGAAAACTCATTCATTCTTATGTTGTTTTCTTTGTTCAGCAATTCTTCCACATTTCCATCTATGTTTTTGATTAAAGTATTAAATTTTCTTCTTCCAATTACTCTTCCTACATTACCAAGAGTTCCTATCATTATATTATTATTGATAAATTAAAATCTAAATTAAGAATATAATAATGATGAGCAATAAATTAACTTACAAAAAGCTGTATGTGAATTCAAAATTTGGGTTTGTCTGAAAATGTTGTGTACCCCATTGTACCCAATGGTTTTGCTGATCATTATCCCTATGAAAAATGGCTATTTCATTGGGAATTTACCCTATTTTCAGACAAACAGATTATAATCTATATGGCTATAATTGGCAATATACCCTTTTTTCCATATGAAAATATCATTATCCCTATTTTTATTGGGTTTTAATAATCACAAACCCAATTTAGACTTCGAAAAACCCCAATCAAAAAAGGCCCTACCGAACTTCGCGTGGCGAAACGGAATCCGATGTCCGATGTTTCAGGACCTTCGTGAGAATCTGCCAGATCTCCAGTAGCTGCGCTTCTTCCTCGTGGCTCCAGGCCTGATTAACCCAGGTTGCGATGTGGTGAAATCAAGCTGGTAATTAACTATACACCGTGCTATTAAATAATAAATATAATATATATATAACATATAATATATATATAATTATATATAATAGTGTATATGATGTATCACTTGTATATCATATACAAAAATGTGCACATGCACGTTGTGTCTTCACTATGTGTTGATCTTGCTCTATTAACCTTGCATGCATGTATCAGATAATAGCAAGAACAGAAGCCTTTTCAACCTGACATAGTGGATCTCGATACAGCATTCACTTGTGTCTGGGGTCGACCAGCTTTGCTTACAACGGTTGCATGCAGAAAAAGGGAATATATATATATATACATACGTATGAATACAAGTTGAATCTTGCAGGAAACAAAAGTGTTTTGCTCATCTGATCAACTATTCCTTGATCTTCCATGCTGGCTTTCTGGACGCTGGGTTTCACCATGTTTCACCTCAAGATTCTCAACATTTCTCGAGATTCTCGAGTCGCCTCTGCGTGGCGACTTTCTCGCAAGTCTCCCAAGCGTGGGATCCATTCCAACATCCTCAAGCTGGACGCGTACTGTACGGCCAGTGTGCCATGTGCCACATGTAGAAGTGGGTAAAATCTGGTAATTTCGCATAGCTATGGAAAGATCCTCCATCAAAATAATAGGTAAATCAACTATAAATGGGCCATTTTCCATAGCTATGTTAAATTACCAGAGGGTAACCACAGTTGGATCAAGAAAGATTGACTCTGGTGGCTGACATTGTTGACATGAGTACGCGAATCCAATCAATATCAATCACACAAACTGATGCCAAGCTTCATCACCGCATTTTTCAACCTTCGATGTCCCGACCAGTACCGATTGAAGTAGTTCCTGGTTGCAATGATCAACGTTCAAATATGTTCAAATCTTGGCTGGAAGGGCGTGAAACAAATGGAGTTTGTTGGAACACAGCTATCCACCTACTTGCAGCGGTTTGAGACAGGCGGAGTTCAAACATGTTCAAACAGTTTTCTGTTGAAGCAAGGCATCGCCTTCAGAAACGATCACGTTTCAGCGGACCAAGAAACAACGTCACCAAAAGCACGTGCAGCACGTGTCATATCCTTCTCAGATCTAACATCTAACTACCTCTGTGAATCTCTCCTGGAAATACGACCAAAATTCTGAGCCGTGACACAACTAAAGCAACTAAAGTGATGTAGTTTCTTTATTGCAATGGTCTCAACATGTCTCAACCATCGCTTCACTCATTCTCACTTTCCGTCGCATCTCCGTTTACCGGCGCTTACGTTGGAAGCGCTACCGGACTACCGGGCGCCTAGTCAACAACAAGTCGTCGGGGAAGCTCAACGGCTGCTTCTTGTAGAGCTGGAAATGTTTCGCCTGTGGCGCTTGCCACCTTTGAAATGGGTGACCAGAAGTGACCAGTCTGTCTCCAACATCTCAAACCATTGGCAATTTTCACCTGCGCAGTTGGTAATAACCCAAGAGTCTGGCACTTTGGGATCCAACATACGTTCAGTCGAAGTGATGTACGTTTTTTTGTGCTCAAATTTCTGCTTCGCCTCCCAAAATAATCACTTAAAGAAGATCAAATGGTCCCTGAATGTCCCTGAATCTTCCTGAATGTCCTTGATCTTCACATATGGGTATGTCTGAAAATGGGGTATACCCCCAATTATAGCCATTTAAAAACGGGATAATGATCATTAGCCATTGGGTGTAGGGCTACACTATTTTCAGACAAACCCATATCTTCACAATCTTCAACAAGCCTTTCATAGCCTTTCTGGGTGATGAAAGGCAATGGAATTCATCATTGCCTTTCAAGCAGATTGACCACTCCACTTCCGCGAAGCCTGGTAGAAAGGTCGCTCACGGTCCAAGCCGACTGCAGCCTGAAGCATGTGGGGATTTTTTAAATATGGCATCCATATAGAAAACCACCAATCTTCGGTGTCATGGCATGTAGTCATACTATGTCATACTCATCATACTCTGATGTCACAGGATGCCTGGAATGTTGTGGATTTGGATTGAGGCTACCCTCTGGTAATTTGTTACATAGCTATGGAAAATCACCATGATTAATGGGAAAATCCACTATTTCTATGGCCATTTTCCATAGCTATGTTAAATTACCAGAGGCTATTCCTGGATTCCTGGCTCCACTTTTCCGACAAAAACAGGGTGCGGTTTCCCCAACAGGGTGCCTCTTGCCCCTTGGTCAGCAAGTCGAAGCTCCAGGGATAGGGACGCTCGTTGTCCCGCTGGAAGCCTGAAACCAATGGCTTAGACGTTTCCGTCGCCAACCATGTACTTCACCACCCTGTGTCTGGAAATGGTTGGAACTGGATATCTATATATATATATACATTATATACATTATATTATACATTATATTATACATTATATATATATGTGTATTATCTATTATATCTAATATTTAATATATATATAATATTATATTAATATAGTACGTATAATTATATTATATTATATTATATTATAGTATAGTATAGTATATTATATTATATTATGTTATGTTATGTTATATTATATTATATATTAAATATATGATATGTATATATATATGTATATTATAAATATACATTATTATATTATATTATATAAATATATATTATACATGTAGATCCAAGGTTGTCCAACCAAGGTGCCCAGGTCCGCAAACTTCTCGATTTCAATCTCTTGCTCTTGCTCTTGCTCTTGCTCCTGATGGAATCTGCTGACCTTTCGCTGTTCATTTTTTGAAGTCGGCAACAGGTCCCTGAAGTCATCCACCCAAATCGTAGCAGACATGATGACCGATGATGACAAACGACAACATGAGCGTTTACTGCAGACAGTGTTGATCGTTCGCTGCTGCTTTCATGAGTACTGCTAACATCTTGATCAAAGCACTTCAACCATGACCATTCGATAGATTGGATAGAACAACTGGATGCAGCTGGACCATCTGTTGCAGGACATGCCTTCGCGGCACAATCTGTCCTGTTCCTGTTGTTGCTCTTGGTCAGCTGTGCTGACTGTTACCTGCAAAGTTGGGGAGCGGAATGGGCCGAACGGTTGGAATTTCCACAGTTGTTGGAGTCCCCTTTTTGGGCCCTTTGGGGAATCCAACACCAATCTGGGTAAATTATAATATTTCACTAACCTGAATTAAGGCCATTTGGGGATGATTTCCAATACTAACCATTATTCCAGTGAGGTCGCAGTGAGGTCGTTATAATTTACCCAGACCAATGCACCTTTTTGGAATCCGACGAAATCCCTTGGAGGATCCACCAAAGGATCCACCAGCGAACCGCTCCTGTTCTGCTTCGGCTGAAACACCCATGAGTCGCTTCAATTTGGCCAAATCCTCCTTTCCCAGAAGCCTCAGCACGTGGCTGCCACGTGGCTTATCCTTCAACCGATTTTTGCATGACGGCAGTAAAAATGATTCATCTCAAAGGATCAGCGAAGTTGAATCATGTGAAAAGAGTTGTTTACTATCAGCAAATATATATAAGTAAAAAATAGTATATAAAGTAATGATAAGTTGAATAATGTTGAATACTGTAAGCAAAGAAGCACCTTTACTTATCGTTTTACTTATCGGTTGTCCATTCTGACTCTGCAGTTTGAATATCTTTGAATCCAGGCATCCACGCCATTCCTTGTCCTTGGCTCGTTCCTCAATCGCTTCTGCTAAGCTTTTTGGCCTCGGTTCACTGTAATCATCCTGCACAACTGACAACATGAGCTCACGGGTAGACACTGGAAAAAAACACTTTTTGACTACTGGAAAAAAAAAACATAAGGTTCACACCTACTCTCCACACTGGAAAAAAAAACTTAAGACACTGGAAAAAAAATAAGAATCTGTACTGTGAACCTTTTTGCAGCTCAAATCTCTTATTTGTACAATATGTGCAGGGTTTGGGCACTTAAACATGCAATTGATCAGTTGCATGATATTTAAAGCGTTTTGGCCTTGAATATTTCAATTTTGTGTGCAGCTGAAATCTCTTGTTTGTAACATATTTGCAGGGTTTTGGAACCAAGGGACCAGAGGACCAGGGGACCAGAGGACCAGGGGACCAAAGGATCAGGGGAACCTTAAATTATGTTTCCAGTAAATTTATTTTTGTTCCCATGGTCTTAGATTCTTTTCCAGGAAACTTAGATTGTTTTTCCAGTATCATCCCAAAAAAAAAATGCTAAAAATTGCACATGTTCAACAAATTCAACGACCTAATGTTAATGTCAAGCATTTTGGAATCATGTTGGTGTACCTTCACGATTCTCATAGATTCATAAGATATTCCATGATGCTCTTCTTATCTAGGTGGAGCATGACGCCGTGGACGCCATGGCTGGCTGATCAGATTCTGTCATGCAATGCTACAACCATCTACAACCTGCACATATCATCACATATCTGTCCGCTTATTCAATCATTCAATACAACTTTAAGATTTATTCAGATTTACGTGTTAGTGCTACTGCACATCTCTGTGGCACCGAACTTTGGAATGGAAGAAGCCAAGTCAAGATCCAATGGCTCCTGATTCGAGAGCCGAATAGGAAAAATGTTCGCCCAATTATAGGAAAACTGTCTCAAAATTTGGACGAAAAGTTCAAATTCGATGGTTAACATGTTGATCAACATGTTCCCTGCTAATGGCCATTTTGAGGGTGTTCCTCATGTTTGGACCATGGATGATTTGCAGACATGTCCAAAATCTGTCCCCAAATAATCTAATGATGGCGCCACAAGCGGACAGTCGTCTCGCCATCAATATTATCAATGCATGGGTGACTCGAAATAGGTTCACTTCAATATACATATATAGATACCATCTGGTTATTTAACATAGCAATGGAAAATAACTATGTTTGATAGGTAAACCATCTATAAATGGTCCATCTATACCATGGCTATGTTAAATAACCAGAGGATATACTAGATAGATCTTAGATAATATATGATAATATGTAATCATAATGACAATTCGACATAATATACTACACACATAATACGGGTACCATACTCTATGGTACAACCATCACCATGATCAGCATCTAAGGCAAGCTGAAACGGACTATAAATCCACCTGAAACGGTCCCCCTAAAGACTCCTCGAAGATGTCAAGGTGTTTCTTGGCCTTAGGCATCGAGTTTAAAGCAGGTCAGTCGTGATCTTTTTGATCTAAAATAGAAATAGAAAAATCGTTGAAATACGGCTTAGATTTTCAAATTGACAAGCTACTCAGGAAAAGCTCTTCCTTCAAAAATGATTTTAAGTACTGTTCGATTTCGACCCGAGAATCCTTCTCTGTGAAACAATCCATTGAATCCTAAACCTGGAGTGCTTCTGACACACCTAGTAGTGTTTGCGCTTGATTGGGGAGGCCCAATCAGTGGAGTGCAAAGCTTCTCGGTTCGATGATTCTGCCATTAATATCTATAATAATAAGAAACCTTCATAGCTTATAGTCATCATAGTCATAGTCTTGGTCCATATCTCTTCACTTCTGGTTCATTCGTTCGCACCTCTTCGGTCTGTGCTTCTTCCGAATGTTCTTGAAGCCAGTTGAAGGCTGGCCTCACAGGGCTTCAAGGGCATTTCATGAGACCACTTGAGCAACAAAACAGAAGCTGAGAGTCTTGCTGCCTTGCTGGGTCTTGCTTGTGCTTCAAGCTGTGCTGTGCTGGCTGTATATTCTGTATCTGTCGCTTTCAAAGCCGCCGTCCCACTTTGGCCATTCCCGGCCTTCTCCACAAGGTGTGAGAATCTTGCGACCTGGCTGTGAAACCAGCTTAAGGTAGAGAGGTACTGCGGCCGGTTCAGCTGATAGTGTGAGATGATGTGTAATCAGTCAGCTGCCGGGCTGCCATGTTCAAATAGCTTCCTGAACCAAACAAAGACTGAAGAATAAAGGTCTTTCTAGATCCAAAAGCGGGTTGACATCTACAGGATCAATTGTTGAGCCCAAATTCGCGATAAAGATCGAAAAAGCGATAGAATATCATAGAATGCAATAGACGCACTTTAAAGAATCACTGGATTCTCCCTTTAAAGAATCCACTCAACCACGAGCATATTTCACCGCACCTCAACATTCCAGCTTGAACACGCTCGCTCCGCAGGCCATTGATTACCAACCAAGCGACTACACGCACCAAACCCACCCTGAGGAGCCAGTGAGTTCGCAATTTTCATGGCGCAGGAACTGAGTTGGGCATAGTGGTTTCTACCTATTATTTTCCAAGTGCTACGGACTCTCAAATCAGAGAAATCTTCACAAATTTCATGAAATTGGTCAGTGTCGAGATGTGTGGAGGCTCTATCATGCCTAATTCTACCTGATATAGACTTTTTCCTATATGAAAGCAAATCAAAGCTGGCAAGGACAACAATATTTAAGACAACTCTGGAACCTTGTCAGAGGTGGGAAATGCTGCACGCAGTTTCATCAATAAGTTGCTACAGGATGGTGTCCCCCAGTTATAAGTTGGTTTATAAACCCCATGAACTAGTTCGTTATATCTGCCATAAACCATAGTGAAACCATAAACCATAGTGAAATTGGAGTTATGTTCACCAACTTAGCTAACGAACTGGGGCACCACCGATAGTAAGGTGTAGTGTCGAATTTCATCTTCACAGCTCCGAAAAAAAAACAAAAAAACGTCGGCCTGTTGTCGTTGGAAATGGGCACGTCCATCAATGACTTCTCGATGAGCTTCGAAACCTGGCTGGATGATGCTGGCCAGCTAAAAGAGACAAGGCAACTGGAACGAGAATCTCTGGCAACTGGTGGAGTCCCATGGTTGGTGGTTGACCTAATAATAGTGGTTATAATACCAAGAATAGTGATTATATATGGTTATATGATGGGATTCTATATAGATAGAACATATCTGAATGCAATGAGTGTATTTTAATCTGGTTGGTGGTTGAGCCCAGCCCTAGCCCTCTGAAAAATGATGGAGTGAGTAACAGTTGGGATGATCATTCCCAACTGAATGGAAAGTCATAAAATTCCATGGTTCCAAACCACCAACCAGTCTAGATGTTAATTATGTAGTTGATAAATTGATGCAAACAGATCTCTAGCCATGAAAGCTCGCAGGTTCACCAAGGGTTCCTTCGCTCCCGACATCACCGTGGTGTCACCTTGCCTCCGGAATGGCATAGACCACCAGGCGTTGTCCCTTGTTGATACCGCGCATACGATACGCGCCCTGGCACATTGTCGCACATCGCAGAGTTCAGTTCTCTGCAGTGACTGGTTAAAACATGTTAAAACCACCCCCGAAAAAATATTTGGAATGGGAGACAAATAGCCAATGACTATCAATGACTAATTTTCAGAGAGGATTTCTATGGATTTCTCCCAGGATTTCTATATGTGTTGCAGGCATTAATCATCTTCCATTGCAGGCGCAGCCAATGGAGACGTAGCTCACTTTGCGAAGAGTCGGTTTTGCCCCAGGCCCCAGCTATGTCGAGCACGAGTACTTGGCTTGAAAGATTGACACCGTGGGGCAAAGTTTGGGTTAAAACCACACCAAAACTGTATGTCATGGGTTTGAATGAATTCTTACTGTTTCTGAGAAGCGAAACTTCACCACAAGGCCACGGGACCACAGCAAGTGAAGAGGCTCTGACTTACCCTCTGGTAAACTAACATAGCTATGGAAAATCACCATTTATAATAGGTAAATGAACTCTAAATGATCATTTTCAATAGCTATGTTAAATTACCAGAGGGTATGTCTCAACCCAAAGGTACCAAGTACTCTTAGGCCTGACAGTAGTCCCGCCAAACCATATCCTGGCAGGAGCTGTAGCACAACCATTGCAGTTGCAGCTTGAGATTTGCAATACCTAAAACCAAAGTGAAGCATTTCGGGCAGGGGCAATATAAAACCATGGAATCACTACAAGGAACTGAGAAACCAGGAATTTCAGTTGCGAAACTGCAGAGTGCAAACGTTGCTTAACATCAAACTAAAGCACCGATGCAAGTGATTCTGTTACCCTGACCCTTTTGGAAATTTCAAGGTCAGAAGGCCGAACCCAAAAATGGCCAGATATCCTCTGGTAATTTAACATAGCTATTGAAAATCACCATTTTTAATGGGAAAATCCACTATTAATGGTCATTTTCAATAGCTACGTTAAATTACCAGAGGGTATCCACTTCCGGAGCATCATATTGGACCAACATTCCTGACGCACTCATCATTAAAAGGGCCTTCCCCAATGTCAGGACTGCCCGCGCATCTGGCTTGTGTTGGATGTCCATACCGGTTGTATGAACCTGCGGTCAGCAACTGGAAAGAACCGCTCGCATAAAAAAATCCTATGAAAATCTCCTGCCAACACATCCAACCTCGGCTTCATTCTCGCCAAACGTACGGATTTGTACGGTAGGGTCAAGGATCGGGTGATCTATGGTGATCGGGATGTGCAGATCATCTTGAAGTGATTTGAACTTGAGACATGGCTGTGAGATGCTGTGAGTATTCTTGAGCTTTGTTGGCGAACTTGCTCCATCTTTCCAGCATCCAAAATATCCAGCCACCTGGTCATAGAAGGCGAAGCGCTCTGACAAGGGGATGCCACAATCCTCCAGTTTCATGCTGGATTTCCTCAAGGAACATAGGCTCAACTTGCATGGTGGCTTGCATGGTGGCCAAAAAGCAAGGGTGCAAGTCTTGGGGGCTGGAGATATTGAAGATAAGATAGAGATATTATTAATATTATATGACATTATATGAGATATTGACTGATACTACTTAAGAACAGCTGACAGGCGAATCTGTATTCATGAGTCTCCCTCAGCTCGCTTCATTTCTTTCCGGCTGAAAAGCGTGCAATGAAGTAATACCTAGCAAAATGGAACCTTGTGCACACTTCTTGTTGCAAGCGTGTGTCGTCTTTCGCACATAGACCATCTTTGCATCAGCTTCGTTGAGGTAAACCACCTCGGCGCTGGTGCGGTTTTTTGGGCAAAGTAGCCTCAACCAAAGCTACTACGCACATTGAGCAAGTGATGGGGTCCACGACCAAACAAATTCGAGCTGAATTCAAGATCATTCAACGCGATCCAAGAAAGTGGCAGGGGTGCTACATGGTGTTACCCTCTAGCCACCTTAGACGATCATTCTGCACAATATCAAATGGTGCCACAAAAGAAAACGCTTGGAATTTGAGCGAAAGCGTAGAAAACAGGGCCTGCAGTACTGCGATCTGATACAAAATCCAAAAATCGCACATGTTCCATGGGCGTTCCCACTCCCGCAGCAGTTTGTGAGGCAGTTTCCCCCAAAAAGAACTCCATCAATCTGTGGAAATCTGGAGATTTCCCTGGCACTGATTTCACTGGGACCTGCAACCGCCTGCTTCTTGAAATCCTTGTGAGACGCTAGGAATTGTGCCACCTGGGCGATGCTCTACGAGCTGAAAGGAGAAGCAAATACTCATACAGCAAAGACGGATGCATAGGCAACACTCAAATTGAAGAAAAATGACACAATACGACATCATCCATCATCATCCAGTTTGAGGAAATGAACTTTTAATGATGTAACCTGTCAAATATTGTCATCGGCCGAGCTTGTCCAATGGTTTTGACTATGTGAAAGACACATCTTCACAATGCACAAGTGGCCGGACACTCTTGCAGAATCGTAAAGTACTTCCCATGAAATCATTGATATGAAAAGGATGACCACACGGGCGCACGGATCACGAGAAAAAATCAAGTACCTATTGTGAATTGTGAATATCTGCAAGTGCCGCGGAAAGGATCAGGAATTCCAGATATTAATCCATGGTCCCCAGCGCAAACACGTCCAATTCAGCAAACATGTGATGTGTGAATCTTCCCAAATCCATCGATTTCCATCATTTTTCATGGATTTTCCATCATTTTCCATCATTTTCCATCATTGTTCATGGATTTTCCATCATTTTCCATCATTTTCCATCATTTTTCATGGATGTTCCATCATTTTCCATCATTTTCCATGGATTTTCCATCATTTTCCATCATTTTCCATCATTTTCCATGGATTTTCCATCATTTTCCATGGATTTTCCATCATTGTTCCATGGATGTTCCATCATTTTCCATCATTTTCCATGGATTTTCCATCATTTTTCATGGATGGTCCATCATTTTCCATCATGTTCCATCATTGTTCATGGATTTTCCATCACTTTCCATCATTTTCCATGGATTTTCCATCATTTTCCATCATTTTCCATGGATTTTCCATCATTTTCCATGGATTTTCCATCATTGTTCATGGATTTTCCATCATTTTCCATCATTTTCCATGGATTTTCCATCATTTTCCATGGATTTTCCATCATTTTCCATGGATTTTCCATCATTTTCCATGGAGTTTCCATCATTGTTCATGGATTTTCCATCATTTTTCATGGATGTTCCATCATTTTCCACTATTTTCCATTGATTTTCCATCATTTTCCATCATTTTCCATCATTTTCCATAGATTTTCCATCATTTTCCATCATTGTTCATGGATTTTCCATCATTTTCCATCATTTTTCATGGAGTTTCTTTTCCATCATTGTTCATAGATTTTCCATCATTTTTCATGGATGTTCCATCATTTTCCATCATTTTTCATTTTTCATGGATTTTCCATCATTTTCCATCATTTTCCATGGATTTTCCATCATTTTCCATCATTTTCCATCATTGTTCATGGATTTTCCATCACTTTCCATCATTTTCCATGGATTTTCCATCATTTTCCATCAGTTTCCATCATTTTCCATGGATTTTCCATCATTTTCCATTGATTTTCCATCATTGTTCATGGATTTTCCATCATTTTTCATCATTTTCCATTGATTTTCCATCATTTTCCATGGATTTTCCATCATTTTTCATGGATTTTCCATCATTTTCCATGGAGTTTCCATCATTGTTCATGGATTTTCCATCATTTTTCATGGATGTTCCATCATTTTCCACCATTTTCCATGGATTTTCCATCATTTTCCATCATTTTTCATAATTTTCCATTGATTTTCCATCATGTTCCATCATTTTCCATCATTGTTCATGGATTTTCCATCATGTTCCATCATTTTTCATGGAGTTTCTTTTCCATCATTGTTCATGGATTTTCCATCATTTTTCATGGTTGTTCCATCATTTTCCATCATTTTCCATGGATTTTCCATCATGTTTCATGGATGTTCCATCATTTTCCATAATTTTCCATGGATTTTCCATCATTTTCCATCATTTTCCATCATTTTCCATCATTGTTCATGGATTTTCCATCATTTTCCATGGATTTTCCATCATTTTCCATCATTTTCCATCATTTTCCATAGATTTTCCATCATTTTTCATGGATTTTCCATCATTTTCCATGGAGTTTCCATCATTGTTCATGGATTTTCCATCATTTTCCATGGATTTTCCATCATTTTCCATGGATTTTCCATCATTTTCCATAGAGTTTCCATCATTGTTCATGGATTTTCCATCATTTTTCATGGATGTTCCATCATTTTCCACCATTTTCCATGGATTTTCCATCATTTTCCATCATTTTCCATCATTTTCATTGATTTTCCATCATTTTCCATCATTTTCCATCATTGTTCATGGATGTTCCATCATTTTCCATCATTTTTCATGGAGTTTCTTTTCCATCATTGTTCATGGATTTTCCATCATTTTTCATGGATGTTCCATCATTTTCCATCATTTTTCATGGATGTTCCATCATTTTCCATCATTTTCCATGGATTTTCCATCATGTTCCATCATTTTTCATGGATGTTCCATCATTTTCCATGGATGTTCCAAAAAAAATCCATCATTTTCCATCATTTTCCATCATTTTCCATCATTTTCCATGGATTTTCCATCATGTTCCATCATTTTCCATGGATTTTCCTTCATGTTCCATCATTTTTCATGGATGTTCCATCATTTTCCATCATTTTCCATGGATTTCTGATGATTTCTGGAAGAAGAACTTGCACCACCGCCTCCATATTGGACATGCCAGTGATCAACGCTCCAGTGTCAATGAGGGCCTCTGCATCCTGCGATGAGAGAAGTTCTCACCGTCTCCACTGAGCGGAAGAACGTCAAAAAAACATATGGAAAAGCATCAAACATATGGGGATGGGTCAAAACCCTGGTACCTAGTGAACCCCAAAATAGCTGGTAAATGGATGTTCATCCCACTAAAAATGTATCTATAGGTATTGACCCATACCCATATGAAAATACATCGAAAAAACATATGAACAACACCAAACAAACAGTTCAAATCAAATGAAAAGCTGTATATAAACGAAAAAACATGAAACAACTTGATGTTTTGGAGGAAATTGAAAATTTGCTGTGCCACAAACAGGGAAGGGAAAAAACTGCCGTGAATCGAAGTCATTAGGCTGCCTTATACACCATTCACAAAATCTGGTTGTAGCTGGGCTGCGGGCATCAACAGGCGACATGGAGGAATAGAACAAAATGCTTTGGTGTTTGGAAAAAAAACTGCTCTTATCCATTACCAGAAATGTTACGTTACGATAAAAATTACATTGTCTATACACCTTATGTATATACGTATGTACAATATATATATATAGGGCCTATATATATATACACATATTGTACATACGTATATACATAAGGGATATATATTATTTATATTGTACTGCACTTTAAGCATCTGGAAACATACCCATCTGGCCCAATCCTCTGCAATCACATTCTCCAGCAAACTGTTGACAGTCCAAGCACCATCCATCTGTAGCAGTGGCCGCCAAGGTGAAATATCCCTACCCCTATAGAGGGGGAGGGCGGGGGGGGACAAAACCAACCTGTCGAATTCCACTTTTTTTTGCTTGGAAACCCTGGGATAGTGATCCAACCCCTCGAATGGAATTGTAAAGTAACATTTCTTAACAAGCCTTGGGCACTAGTATGATCACGGCAGCGAAATTTTTTGGAGGGATGCCATCCCTACACATGTGCTGCTTCAGTCTGACATGTGCTTAGCTCCTCCGGAGCTAAGCGCTAGTATTTAATGTTCACCTGCTTGCCAATGACATGGAATGATCAGGAACATTGATCATTGAGAAAACATGATTGCAAAAATGGAATTTTAAAATGAAATTTCAGTACGACTCCCCCCCCCTCAAATTCCATTTTTAAGAGGGTAGGGATGGTGGAATGTGATTCATCATGCACTTCATCTGAATCCAGATATGCTGGCAAATGTACCTTATAGTGAACATCAAGATGATTGTTAAATGCTGTACATGGTGCCTACATGGTGCCAAACATGGTGCCGAACATGGTGCCGAACATGGTGCCTAACATGGTGCCGAACATGGTGCCGAACATGGTGCCAAACATAGTGCCAAACATGGTGCCTAACATGGTGCCTAACATGGTGCCTAACATGGTGCCAAACATGGTGCCTAACATGGTGCCAAACATGGTGCCGAACATGGTGCCGAACATGGTGCCTAACATGGTGCCGAACATGGTGCCGAACATGGTGCCTAACATGGTGCCAAACATGGTGCTGAACATGGTGCCTAACATGGTGCCGAGCATGGTGCCTAACATGGTGCCGAACATGGTGCCTCACATGGTGCCTAACATGGTGCCGAACATGGTGCCGAACATGATGCCTCACATGGCGCCGAACATGGTGCCGAACATGGCGCCGAACATGGTGCCGAACATGGTCGCGGTTTTATTCGGAAACCTATGCAGTTGCATTCGGAAACTTTTATTCGGAAACTAATACAGTTGTATTCGGAAACTTATATTCGGAAACTAATTAATGCAGTTGTATTCGGAAACTTTTTTCGGAAACTTATATTCGACAACCATAATACAGTTGCATTCCGAATTATAATGGAAACTTATATTCTGAAACTAATACAGATGTATTCGGAAACTAATGACAGGAACTAATGATCCACCATGTCCTCGGCACCAAATGCCTTTTTCCGCTCACATGCATGTGAGTTCTATGCAGAAGCTTTGTCCACACGCCAGCCTTTGATGAGCTTGGCACTCATCGACTTCAGTGGAGCTGGAGTGTCGTCCGAATCCAGATACGCTTGACATGTGAGATCTTTTCTCTTCTCTATACCCAATGGCAATGAAACGGGCAAGTGGTGAAGTACCTCAATTTGAATCTTGACGTGGGCTCACATGCACAGGTCCAGAGGAGGTCGCAAGTATGTTTTGTTAGTTACCAAAACTACGCATGTATTTGCCAGAACGGGTGGCAAGTTTGTTTTGTTAGTTAACAAGAATATATGCATGTATTTGCCAGAGGGGGTGGCAATTTTGAATTGTTCTGGTGGGAAAAGAAACATGTTGTTCAGAGGGGCGGCAAGTTTGTTTTGTTAGTTGACAAGAATATGCATGTATTTGCGAGACGGGGTGGCAATATTGAATTCTACTGGTGGAAAAGGGAACATGTTGTTCAGAGGGGTGGCAAGTTTGTTTTGTCAGTTAACAAGAATTTGCATGTATTGGCCAGACGGGGTGGCAATTTTGAATTGTTCTGGTGGAAAAAGGAACCTGTTGTTCATAGGGGTGGCAATTATGTTTTGTTAGTTAACAAGACTATGCATGTATTTGCCAGACAGGGTGGCAATTTTGAATTGTTCTGGTGGGAAAAGAAACATGTTGTTCATAGGGGCGGCAAGTTTGTTTTGTTAGTTGACAAGAATATGCATGTATTTGCGAGACGGGGTGGCAATATTGAATTCTACTGGTGGAAAAGGGAGATGTTGCTCATAGGGGCGGCAAGTTTGCTTTGTTAGTTAACAAGAATATGCATGCATTTGCCAGAGGGGGTGGCAATTTTGAATTGTTCTGGTGGAAAAAGGAACCTGTTGTTCAGAGGGGTGGTAAGTTCGTTTTGTTAGTTAACAAGAATATGCATGTATTTGCCAGAGGGGGTGGCAATTTTGAATTGTTCTGGTGGGAAAAGAAACATGTTGTTCATAGGGGCGGCAAGTTTGTTTTGTTAGTTAACAAGACTATGCATGTATTTGCCAGAGGGGGTGGCAATTTTGAATTGTTCTGGTGGAAAAAGGAACCTGTTGTTCAGAGGGGTGGTAAGTTCGTTTTGTTAGTTAACAAGACTATGCATGTATTTGCCAGACAGGGTGGCAATTTTGATTTGTTCTGGTGGGAAAAGAAACATGTTGTTCAGAGGGGTGGCAAGTTTGTTTTGTTAGTTAACAAGAATATGCATGTATTTGCCAGAGGGGGTGGCAATTTTGAATTGTTCTGGTAAAAAAAGGAACCTGTTGTTCAGAGGGGTGGTAAGTTCGTTTTGTTAGTTAACAAGAATATGCATGTATTTGCCAGACGGGGTGGCAATTTTGAATTGTTCTGGTGGGAAAAGGGAGATGTTGTTCATAGGGGCGGCAAGTTTGTTTTGTTAGTTAACAAGACTATGCATGTATTTGCCAGAGGGGGTGGCAATTTTGAATTGTTTTGGAAAAGGGAGATGTTGCTCATAGGGGCGGCAAGTTTGCTTTGTTAGTGAACAGGACTATTCATGTATTTGCCAGAGGGGGTGGCAATTTTGAATTGTTCTGGTGGGAAAAGAAACATGTTGTTCATAGGGGCGGCAAGTTTGTTTTGTTAGTTGACAAGAATATGCATGTATTTGCGAGACGGGGTGGCAATATTGAATTCTTCTGGTGGAAAAGGGAACATATTGTTCAGAGGGGTGGCAAGTTTGTTTTGTCAGTTAACAAGAATATGCATGTATTTGCCAGATACGGTTGCAATGTTGATGTGTCAGCTGAGGGCTGGATTAAGACATGACTCATGCATGTACTTTCTCATTTGTTTCTCATTGACGAATCACTTGTTTCTGAATAATTAGTTTCTGAATCCAACTTCATTAGTTTCTGAATCCGAAACAATTTGTTTCTGAATCCGAAGACATTTGTTTCTGAATCATTAGTTTGTGAATCCGAACACATTAGTTTCTGAATCCGATTAGTTTCTGAATCCGACCAAATAAGTTGTGGCATCATTAGTTGCTGAATCCCAATTAGTTGCTGAATCCGAGTTTGTTCTGCAAACATGGTGCCGAACATGGTGCCTAACATGGTTTTGACCGTTTTAAGCCATCCCCATCCCTGGACCGCCTGCTTCAGGGCCATTACTCCGGGGTCGGTGAGAGTGGTGAACATGGCAGCATCATCTCCCGGCCTGGAATCATGGGCCAGACGCTTCATTTTGGACAGGGAAAAAAGATGGAACATGAACCAAAATGAACCAAAATGAACCAACATTTCTCCGAAAGATTGCGGTTTTGAAGGTCCGATGCTATGATTTTTGTCCAGGTGGGCCCGAATCTGATGCTCCAAGGGGCGCAAAGTGGCAGCGGCCCAAGCCCTTGGGAAGCAACTCCGTGGGGGTTCCACTGAAGCCAACGCGACCTGAACGATCCAAAAGCCGGAAGTGGATCGAATTGGGATCAAAGATCTGGAATATTCTGGAATTACTATCATGGGAGGGATATTCATGGGGATCTTATATCGATATATATTATCATGTTCATGTACTATATTAATTGATGTATCACTTTCTGTGCACTTCATGTCTTGGAAGACACGTGATATACTCTTCCGACATGATATCAAAATAGCAACTTTTGCACTTGGCACTCGGAGGAAACCTATCACTACAGACTTTCGAAGGTATCCCGTTGATGATGTCATCTTCTTTAACATATTAATTGCATTTCGTGTCTATCAGCAGCTACATTTGGTATCCAAGCACACGCAAATCTGCAACTCGAAAGAAACACATTAAATTACTGAATCAAGCACGATGAGTCCTCGACTATGTCCAACCGTTGGCTATGCAAACTGACGCAAACTTCAGGGACCCACAGTCTGATAAAAAAAACTGTCGATGTGGCCACTCTGTGTTTAACTGCACGAATTTCTGCTTGAAAACTAGAGCTGGTAGTGTTGGGAGTTACCCTTTCATCACCAGAAAAATCGGGACTATCGACCACTAGGACCAAAAATGCGGAGCAAAGTCTGTATACGTGTCACATCTGGGGCCACCGGGCGAGCGAACAACATCTCGGCGCCAAGTTCTTGCCCACTGGCTGAGAGCTTCTTGTTTTGAAACCTCCGGCAGTTTTCGGCTTTCGGCTTCCACTTTGAAAAACACTCCTCTCAGAAAAATTGATCATCACAGTTCATCTTCAAATACCCTCTGGTAAACTAACATAACTATGGGAAATCACCATTTTTCATGGGAAAATTCACTATAAATGGTGATTGTGCATAGTTATGTTGAATTACCAGAGGGTATGTTGCAATATGTTACGGTTAGTCTGGCCCGGCCTCATGTACTTCGGGAACACGAGCTGTTCCAAGTACCACTGGATGACTGCTGTAGATGCTCGCAGAAGCTTGAAGATGTCCTCTCCGATGCGGAGACGGTCGCTTCATGGAGAATGGTTGTAGCCATTCAGCAGACTCTTCAAAAGGCAGAAGGCATGCGACAGGTGTGAAAAAAATCACCTTCAGATTGCAAATGGTGATCATGGGGTGCCTCGGCCAACAATCTCTTCCAGAAACGGGGTACGTACCCCGTTCAAGTTCTTGTCAATGGCATGTTTGTTAGAAAGTCAGATAGTTTTTGCCAACACCCAACCCTGACCATGTAGGGGAAAAAGTGAAATGTGTTTATATAAACAAAATTCCAGTAAATCCAGTGAATGCGGGGATTGTACCAGAAGTAATATTCACGTGTATTCAAGATGCAGTAGTCAACAGATGTAACAATGGCCAGTGACACTAAGCAACGACACCTGTTTTAGCGGGCACCTTGAGCCAAACGTTGTTGGCCAAGTAAATGGTTTGATGACCAAAACCCCGGATTACAGGATTAAGGAAATGAGTTATCATTGTCGATAACTATTTGAATAGTCTATTCCCGTTGTAAAAACCCTGACATTATGTACACTTTACAGTCAAAGGCAACAACAATATAGTGGGCTCCGTTTTGGGACCACTATGTGGTATGAACATGCATACACGGCATAGGGGTTATTCGAGTATTTTCTACTCCCCCCTCTCGATTGACTCCGGCCAGTGGTACGTTCGGCACCGACCTAGTCTTCTGGAGCTTTCTGGTATGGAAGAATGCGTGGAGCCTTCTTCTTGTACTTCTTTCTCACATTGGCCTTGGGTTTCGGAGCATCCTGAGTAGGCACAGGTTTTGACTTGTCCTCAGCATAGGAAGGCTGCAGAGACTCATCAAAATTCTCCTGGATCTTCAAACCAGTGTTCGTGGTCCGAGTGACCACATATCCATTGATTATTCCCAGAAGGTCCAACGCGGGTCCCCACAGTTCACCTGCCAATCCCGTAGTGGAGATATCGGCTTTCTGGTAGCGACTGGCAACTAGTTGCAAGTCCACATCGTCCTTGTCCAGTTCCTCTTTGAGGCTACCTAAGTTTATACGATGTGTTCTCTTCATATGTCGCAAACGCTTGGAATAGCCAGCAGAAACCACCTTTGCTGTGGCTTCGTTATCTTCTCTGATTAACAAGCGCACTGACTTTCTGAATAATACTGAAAACAGCTCTAGCAACGGCAGACCTTCATCAAATAAAGTAGTAGCCATCGCTGCAGCCTCAGCTTCAGTTGTCGATCTGGAGACCGCACCTTGCTTTTTGGACATCCAGGTCAGTGGAAAACTGGTGCTCTTTCCACTTAGCTGTACCCACCCACCAGTTGTGGAATATGTGTGCTCGTCATCACCACAAAAGTCTGCATCGCAGAACAGCTCAACATAGATGTCATTCAAATCATCATCTACATGGCCAGTGAGTAAGTAGTCTTTTGTTTCATTCAAATAACTAATCGCCCTGAAAAGATGGTTGTCACACTCCGTGGTCCACTGTTGCACCTTAGTAGCTAACCAAGTGGTTACTCTCAGCATATCAGTCCGCGACAATCGCGCCAACCACATCAGTTTCATAAGGACCGAGCTGGCTGAACCTGCAAGTTCGCCCTTAGTCGGAGCCTCCTCAAGCACAGTGGTCTTTGAGAGAAATGGTGTGCTAACTCTCTTCAGTTTTGCGTGACCTATCAGTCGAACATAGTCATTGACAATGCTCTCAGCATAGGCTCGCATGTCGAATGCGAATAGTTCTTGATTTCTGAACTCCACTGTTGAATGATGTCTCCCCAAGAACCTACCTAGGTCACCGATGTCATCCAACATGATTCTTTTAGAAAGGTCTGCCCAAAAGGAATCGTGGTATGAACTGTCCCCGCTCAAAACGAAGTCATCCACATAAACAACCAAAGCCAAATGCCCGTAGGAAGGAAACACATATGTGCTTGGGAATTCTGGAATCTTCGTGGCTCCCATGTTTACCAACTCTTGCTCCAGCTTCCTTTCCCAATGTGCTCCAGCTTCTGGATGCCCATACAAGCTGCGAAGCAGCCTGATGACTGGCCTCCGGTACAAAGGCTTTCCATTTGAGTCAAACCAAGTTTCCGGCCAAACTTCTCTGGGCAACCTGACCCAAGTTTCGGCCAATGAGTTCAAAACGCTCTGAAGGTACGCCTTGATGGCGTCTGCTGATGAAATCTTGTGGCCTTTCAACAGACCGTATGCTATGATGGCGTTAGCCGCAGTGATCGAAGCAGGGGACGCGCTCATGGTTTGATATAGCGCGACATTTCCTTTTGCAGTTTTCGCTGCGTCACCCCTGTAGCATACTCTACCCTTGAGGGTTCTGAACTTTGGTTCTAGCTCAACGTTCTTCTCACTACATATGGCTAGTAGGTCTGCTAGGTGGATAGTCTGGCCATTCTCTATGGCTCGCCTTTTCACCGTCTCTTCCTCCTCAACCGATCCCAAATCCCATGTGCCCATGTCCCCAATACCGTCAAACTCCTTCTTGATCGCGGCTATCGCGTCAGGACGCGAGAGAACCTCTGACCTCGGGAGCTGTCTGGTGACCGCTGCTGGTTGCAGCTCTTCTTCATCATCAGACCTCGGTGGGCATATGGGTACTTCATCTTCAGGGAATTGATCTGGAGCTATGGATGGTTCATATTCAGTTTCAACACCATCCTGTATTGGTCTCGGAGTTGGTCCCACTGATTCGCCACGTCTGGAGAAGATGGCGTCAAACCTTGTTTTGCATTCTTGTGAGTGTCTGTTGTGTCCCATGGAGCACCCTGGACATCCCCTGGTGAAGCCATGTTTCATCAACCTTGACCATGTTATGTAAGCGTGTCTTGGAGGAGGTGGAGGCGCGTCAACAGGAAAAGAATCAATGCACACGTCATATGGCAAAACCCCTTCCACGAAAGATCTATCATAGATGGCTTTCTTGACTTCTTTCTCCTCATCCGTCATTTGCAACATGGCATTTTGTGCAGCTAATGCAAGAGGAAATTCAATGTATTCTGTTGGAGGGAAATAGACCTCCTTCTCATGCATCACACGTGGCTGCCAGTGCAAATGTCCTCTCTCTCTGACAGACTCATAGTCCAAAATCTTCACATTGCCACGATACCGAAGCCCAGGGGATAGGTGCCAACCGGCAAACAACCCCGGACGAGTTGTGGGCTCTGCCATGCCGTCCCCCTTGGAACGATAGAAAACCAATGCGCCTAGTGGATAAGAGACGCCATCAAAAGGTTTACCTGTGGCCACTTCCCATCGCGTCTTACCAAGTTTCTTCTTTCCCTCTTCCGTGTCTCTCTCATCCTCCGTGATCGGAGCCGGAGTGAAGAAGGATCTTGCAGTGGCTGTGTACTCGATGGAAATGGTCCAAAGCCTTCTGTGGAAGCCTGCCTGCAGGTGCGATGGCCTGCACATCTCCTTGATGGTCCTGATTTCTCTTTCAACAAAGGCATTGTGTGGCCAGTGATTGGCGGCTGATGGATCAGCCACCCATCCCAGTCTTGATGCAGCATTGGTCAATTCCTGGGCTGTGTCGGAGTGGAATACAACATCTGGGTTACCGTTCAACTTGTTGCCACCAAAATGTTTCAACGCATCATAGTTGCTATCTTCATTGCGTGTTCGTTGAGGGTATGTCAAACACATTCCAGAGTATCTGTCTCGCACTAAGAGGGCGGACTGTTCACCACCAAGCCCCCTAGACTCAACCGCTGGAAAAATGTGGTCAGCCTCAATGATGCTTCCAAACTCCTTTGCAATACTGTACACAACCTCTTCGTCCTCAGGTTCGGGTCTATGTCTATGAGCATATCGTTTGATCATTCGACCTCTTTGGCAATGTGGGCAAAATGGATTCTTCTTGGCGTGCAATGTGATGTGTTCTAATGATGTTGCCTCCCTCTTCAGTCTATCATCCCTGGATTCCCTGTCCTCAGCCTCATCATCGGCAGGTTCATCCAGGCCCTCAGCTGCGGCTGCTGCAAGGGGGTCGACTGAATCGTAAATGAAGACACCACCATCTCGTCCCTCTTCAGGCTCACGCTCCCGGTGTTCAACTGTTTGCTCTATCACTTGTGTGACTGGCATGGCTGGGACATGTCGTGAGATGATATCAGGATACATCGCATGCATTACATACTCACACATCTCCTTGGGGTAGAAACCAGTGAGGCGTGTTCTTGATCCTGAAATGGGGGCATGTTGGAAATCAGCTGGATGATTGCATCTCAACGTTGAAAAGATCCTAGCAGTACGGTTGCATGTAGTAATCAACCTCCACCTCTTCAAATGAAGATCACCCTTTGAGTCAGTCAATCCAACTTGGCACCCATCAAAATCCACAATCATCATGTTGAGATCCCGAATAAGTTTCTGGAGTTCTTGCAATGCCCAACCAACACAGTGTCGAGGCCATTCGAATGTGACTCGACCTCCCTTTCGCGCTACAGCGCGAGCCAAACGACAAAACCGTTTAACCAACCTTCTTGACACCTTACGCCTCTCGGACAATCTGCTGGCGAAGTCATCACCATACAAATGCACGTTGAGCGTCTGCCACTGAGTCCAAGGCCCACATGGTAATGAACCCCAAAGGTCGGCACCAGGTTTGGTTTCGATGATGCCGTCAAGGACTTTGATAGTTTCATCACTTTCGACATTCAAATGTTTCTCAGAACATCTTATGACATGAATCCCAAGATCTTTTCCAACTCTTCCCATCATGGAATCTGAAGAAGTACAGAACTCGATCAAAGTCCCGTGTCCTGGAAGTCCTGGGTGATGTGGTTCTGGAACCGCCATCTCAGCAGTGCTCTCGCTGAAGTCATTGAACTCCTTGGCAATGCTATGCGAGATGGATTGGTAAAGTTCGGATGTTTGCTCATCATGTTGTCTAGATCTATCGTTGTAAAATTGTTGGAGTCCATTCATCATAGTTTCTACGGCTTCAACCCCCCTGATGATGGGTTTGCGGACTGGAGCCTCTGGCT